TGTGTGTTTATGTGACAATGGCTATGTACCAACTGATGAAGACTACAGACTGTATAGATGATGCGTGTTTAAGTGATAATGGCTATGTACGAACTGATGGAGACTGCAGACTGTATATATAGTTGATGCGTGTTTATGTGACAATGGCTATATACCTACTGATGGAGACTGCAGACTGTATGGTTGACGCGTGTTTATGTGATAATGGCTATATACCTACTGATGGAGACTAGAGACTATATACATATGACAATGGCTATATACCTACTGCTGAAGACTGCAGACTGTATAGTTGACGCGTGTTTATGTGATAATGGCTATGTACCAACTGATGGAGACTAGAGACTGTATACATATGACAATGGCTATATACCTACTGATGAAGACTGCAGACTGTATAGTTGACGCGTGTTTATGTGACAATGACTATGTACCAACTGATGGAGACTAGAGACTGTATAGTTGATGTATGTTTATGTGATAATGGCTATGTACCAACTGATGGAGACTAGAGACTGTATAGTTGATGTGTGTTTATGTGACATTGGCTATGCACCAACAGATGGAGACTGCAGACTGTATATTTGATGCGTGTTTATGTGACAATGACTATGTACCAACTGATGGAGACTAGAGACTGTATAGTTGATGTGTATTTATGTGACAATGGCTATGCACCAACTGATGGAGACTAGAGACTGTATTATATTTGATGCGTGTTTATGGGACAATGACTATGTACCAACTGATGAATACTAGAGACTGCATAGTTGATGCGTGTTTGTGTGACAATGACTATGTCCCAACTGATGGAGACTAGAGACTATATACGTATGACAATGGCTATATACATACTGATGGAGACTAGAGACTGTATAGTTGTTGTGTGTTTATGTGACATTGGCTATGCCCCAACAGATGGAGACTGCTGACTGTATATTTGATGCGTGTTTATGGGACAATGACTATGTACCAACTGATGAAGCCTAGAGACTGCATAGTTGATGCGTGTTTGTGTGACAATGGCTATGTACCTACTGATGGAGACTTCAGACTGTATAGTTGATACGTGGTTAAGTGATAATGGCTATGTACCAACTTATGGAGACTAGAGACTGTATTATATTTGATGCGTGTTTGTGTGACAATGACTATGTCCCAACTGATGGAGACTACAGACTATATACATATGACAATGGCTATATGCCAACTGATGGAGACTGCACACTGTATAGTTGATGCGTGTTTAATGGATAATGGCTATATACCCACTGATGGAGACTGCAGACTGTATATTTGATGCGGGTTTATGTGACAATGGCTAGGTACCAACTGATGAAGACTGCAGCCTGTATATTTGATGCGTGTTTATGGGACAATGGCTATGTACCTACTGATGGAGACTGCAGATTGTATAGTTGATGTGTGTGTATGTGGCAATAGCTATGTACCAACTGATGGAGCCTGCAGACTGTATATTTGATGTGTGTTTATGTGTTAATGGCTATGTACCAACACATGGAGACTGCAGACTGCTAGAGACTATATACATATGACAATGGCTATATGCCAACTGATGGAGACTGCATACTGTATAGTTGATGTGGGTTTATGTGACAATGGCTAGGTACCAACTGATGAAGACAGAGACTGTATAGTTGACGCGTGTTTAAGTGATAATGGTTATGTACCAACAGATGGTGACTGCAGACTGTATAGTGACAATGGCTATGTACCAGCAGATGGAGACTGCAGACTGCTAGAGACTATATACATATGACAATGGCTATATACCTACAGATGAAGACTGCAGACTGTATATTTGACGCGTGTTTATGTGACAATAGCTATGTACCAACTGATGGGGACTGCAGACTGTATAGGTGATGTGGGTTTATGGGACAATGGCTATGTACCAGCAGATGGAGACTGCAGACTGCTAGAGACTATATACATATGACAATGGCTATATGCCAACTGATGGAGACTGCAGATTGTATAGTTGATGTGTGTTTATGGGACATTGGCTATGCACCAACAGGTGGAGACTGCAGACTGTATCGTTGATGTGTGTTTATGAGACAATGGCTATGTACCAACACATGGAGACTGCAGACTGTATAATTGATGTGTGTTTATGTGGCAATGGCTATATACCTACTGATGGAGACTAGAGACGGTATAGTTGATGCGTGTTTGTGTGACAATGACTATGTCCCAACTGATGGAGACTAAACTGATGGAGACTAGAGACTGTATTATATTTGATGCGTGTTTGTGTGACAATGACTATGTACCAACTGATGGAGACTGCAGACTGTATATATAGTTGATGCGTGTTGATGTGACAATGGCTTTATACCTTCTGATGGAGATTGGAAACCATGTATTTGACCCGTTTTTATTTGACAATAGCTATATTCCTACTTATGTAAAGTAAAATGTGACAATAAATCTTTCGTTCATCCCTTTTCGAAATTGCAGTTGAAATATACATTTGTAAGGTTTTTCAATCATTTTATACTTATGTTTCGACATATGATCGTAAATTCGCCGCAGCCAAAGTTGCCACAGATCCCGCTATTGAATGCCGGCTACCAAATGATGTATCAATACATTCTGCAGAAGCCCATGCTATCTATCTTGCCCTTGAGCACACAAAATCGAATGGTGTACCGAAGTCAATCATCTATTCTGATTCTTTATCTGTTATACAGAGCATTGGCAACAAAACGTCGAAGAATATCTCAATTAGTAAAATATTAACACTATTAATATCAAAACCCAAGAAGATGTCAAATAATGTCAGATTACCTTCTGCTCGATTCCCGGACATGTGGGATATCTGGGTAATGAAAAACAGAACGCCCCGCTAAAGTGGCTTCATGACTACCGCCTGTTGATTTTAAACTTTATTTTACAGATTTTAAACTTTAATGACAATTTTTGTAAGGTCAAAGCAGCAAAATAACTGGTATCAATGCGTAGACGATCAGTTACGCTCTGTAAACCTAAATAAAATCGGTGACCGGGACGAAAATCAATTACAGTAAAAAAACCTTCATGTTCTTTGCATTGGCCTTCTGCCAACAAGAGAACATTTTTTTAAACAATAATATAACAAATCTCAAATATCTTTTCGAAAAAGACCATATCGCAGCCATTCTAACCTACACTTGTACATACAAATTGTTACAAGACGTTCAAGTTATAAAGTAAGTTATGATGATTCATAATAATAAGCAAATTGGCTTAAGACCTAAATGCTGATATTTGGAATAACATTCATTTTCATATTTTCAGCTTGCCTATGGATGGACAATGCAGCGCTCGCAGACAAGCCCGCAATGCTGAACTATTCTGCTCGTGTTCCTGAATGCTTGATTCGTGTGCAGAGATAGGTGTATATTACTCGACTTTAACATACGGCTCCAACTGTTACCATGAAGTTTCCTCCTGGATTCCCGACCATTACGCGGATAGGATACTAGTTGACCTGCCATTTACACGTACTCCGTGATTATGTTATAATGGAATATTGTCTGGTGAAGAGGACACTGACTATTGCTCTGGCCATCAATTTGCTGTCCGTAGTACAGACTGATAATTTCCGTTGGACACGTGAGTATGAATTGACGTAGTAGGTCCTCAATTTGACCATAGCACTAGTCCTGCGCTATTGAGTTATTGCTTATTCATTCAGGCGCATTTTACAAAAAGTACTAGTTCAAGAATATATTAATTCCTATTACTAAGGGTCGTTAATTTGTTGAAAGGATAACAGTGTCATATATGATGTCGCGAGTATTCTCTTTGTTTGACTTTCCGCATGAACCTTTCGTTTTTCTGTTAATCACTTTACGCAAAAACGCGGTTGACTCTGCTGGCGGGCTAATAGGGTCACGGGTGTTGACCGTAACCTGTTAACTGATATCGGTTCTGGAACTGTCAACATGAAAATAAAAATCACTTTATTTGAACTTTCAAGTTCAAAAATGAAATATGAATATGGAGATAGCAAGGAAACACATAAATGAAATAGTTTTTAACGATTTGTCTCTTTAATGTAAACCGAGCCAAAATCAAATTTCCAGCTACAGACACGGGTTCATTTATTTACCTACAACTTCCTGGCGTACAATTTATAGCTATATGGGTAATCATGTATGTGTATATATCTACCTCTTCCTGGTAGACATACACATGTGTTTATTGGGCTTTTTTTTTACTTGATTCATTTCTTGCTGTACTGAATAACATCATTTCTCCGAATACACCAAGAGATATATATCTGTAAGGGGTGGTTGATTATTTCGTTTCAAGTTCATTTAGGGTCAACGCCTATTGGATGTTAACATTAGCGTTGGTCCCCGCTTGGAATTTCAAAACAAGCTAGATACTGAAAGGTATGGGTATAGGAAGCTTAAATTAGGAATAATTAGTTTCAGCATTTTTATTGTATGATAAATGGGACCTCATTGACTTACACCTGTGTGTGTGTGTTAAAGGTGCGGTAACACAATTCCTCCTAGAGCATTTAAATGACCCAATTACTATAAAATTATATCATGATCTAGTGCAACATATTCCAACTGTTATTTTGATACTGAATATTACACTATTTCAAAAACGAATTGTCCTTTTTATTGACGATTAAAGAAGAAACATATGTGAATTTTCATTGAATTTAGTAGTTCTTAAACCAGTCTATTTTTCATACTTGCTTAAGAGTTGGCTGCTAATAACATCTTTCAACATCAGGAATTTCAAAAAAGTTGACAACCGGTAAATTTGTCATATAGCACTTTTGATTCAAAAGAAGAAAACATAGCTTTCTTTCCATTTTCCCTTTAACTTGTGTTCCTTCATGACTAAATGTCCCTGGGTCTTGATATTTGGCAAGTAGGTTGTTCATCTGAATGGATTAAAGTTTTATAGACGTTGATGCTTCGTTCATGGTCACAAAAATCAAATGTGCTACAAATAAAAAATGTATATGGGGGAGTCAGACACGGATATCTTACTTTGCTTTCTTTGTTTAGAGTTAACGATATGAAATAATATTCCTTCATACTTTGTTTAATACATGGGCAATAGGCAAAATGAATTAATAACAAAATATTTGGCAAGTAGGTTGTTCATGTGATTGGATTTAATTTTTGTAAACGTTGATGACCTTGACCTGCGTTCAAAGTCACAAAAATAAAATGTGCTAAAACAAATTTTGTATAGGGAGTCCGACAAGGATATCTTTTCTTTCTTTCTTTCTTTAGAGTTAACGATATAAAATAATGTAATACTCCTTCATATTTTGTTTAATGAATGGGTAGTAGGCAAAATGAAATAATAACTAGATCAGTAAGCCAAAGGCTAGATAACACCCCCGCTCCTACATAAACCAAAACTGTAAGCTAAAGGCTAACTAAAGCAAAGCATTGCAAAGCAATCCATAGTCTCCCACCAGTAATTATTTAAGTATATAGGTCACTAACATACTTCCTGTACAACATCCCCATGTCAAAACCTACCTCCATACTCTTTCAACAAAGGGTCATAACTAGTATATAAATGGTCGGAATGAAAACATACTACTTGGATGCACAATGTCAGGGGGAAGTTAACATATCAGTAAACTTCCGTTGAAATTGACCCATAGTTTTGAAGGAGTTGTATGGACATTTTTTTTTCAACAAATGGGCCATTACTTCGTATAAAAGTTATCCTATCTGAACACTTTCGTTGAAATAGACCCCTTAGTTATGGAGGACATGTCCGGACAAGGGTTTGTCATCAAATGACCATAACTTTGTGTAAAAAAAAAGGTCAGAATGAAGTAATACTACCTGGATGCACAACTTCAAGTGGTAGTTATCGTTTCCGGAAACTTTCGTTGAAACTTGTCCATTCTGTAGCAAACTTTCTCCATGGACAGACAGACGAGACAGACGGACAGATAGACGGACGGATAAGCTGATTCCAGTATACCCACCTAACTTCGTTGCGGGGGTATACTTAAGTGTACAATAGTTTTACTATAAAGATTATTTCATTGTAATCTCAACCTTAAGAATGTTCTTCAGAAGAAAGATTACTTTGGCAGAATACATACTCATGAGTTATTACTGCTGCACATAACTTTAAAACATGCGTAATATAATAAAGTGTTTTTGTGTATGATACAAAAACCGAAAATGTATATATTTTAAATTTTGTGAAAATTTTGCATGTTTTTCTCATTAAAAATATCACTACGCTTATTTCATGTATACCAATATGACATATTTATTATCAAAATAACAGTAAGTTTATGAACTGTACACTATCATAACTCATTTTAAAAATAACATTCGCCTGTGACATGTATCTGTCATTTTGTAAGGATACCCCCGTCACTCAACCTGGTGTTATGCAAGGAGGTCCACTACGGTTATCAGTAGTAATTATGAATCTACATATGGCAAAATAATAAAAGAAATCAAAATTGGGGCCAAATGTTGATCCCACCTTTAGACTTTGTTATATTCGGAAGTTTTATTTTTTCGATAGATCTTGAGCCGCCAGGTACCCTCTACAAGGTGGTTGGTGAGAGACTGGACCTAGAGTGTTCCTATTTCAAAGATGATAAAACCAATTTGTCAGACAGCCTATCTATGCAGCGTTGTAGAAGCAGGGTGTGCGTCACCTTACCATCAGAGACCATCAACCGCACATCTATCCGGACATCCATTGAGAGTCTCCTCGTGGAAGACGGCCAAACGTACAAATGTTCTTTCAAGCTCCAACCGGACACCATGTCCTTGACCTATGTCAAGGTCGGCTGTAAGTTTGATGTGGACATTATTCCTATGGGAGAAAAGCTGAATTACAAAACAAAAACTAAAGAAAAAGAGTTTAAGCTATTGAGACAATAGTAGCATGTATACGATTGCCGATAAAAAAGGCCGTCACATCTTATATCTAATACGTATAAGACATATTCATGTACATATTTAAAAAAACATTTTTTTTTTTATTTAAACACGTGCACATCTTATATCTGTATGAACACGTTCATGGTTTGATAATCTTACGTGTACACATCTTATATCTTACATATGTATTTAAGACTTGTACATGTACATTTTTTGAAAATTGTACATGTACACATCTTATACCTTATACCGATTAAAATTCCTTCCGTGATAAGATCCAGTCCGAAACAAAGGTGAATTAAAGCAGACGCCTACTAGTTTATCTGTAGCTTTTGTTAAGAATATAAACTGGTCTATTTCAGACAATAAGTCCACTATGTATAGCTGTTCGATTATATTTCGTAAAAAAAAAAGCTTCATTAAGCATGTTTACTTTTGAGACTGATCAAAAGAAAACAGTGGCTTCCAGGAAGTCATCTTGGATTTTAAGAGTTAAATTTTGATATCGTTATTTCTCAAAAAGTCCTAAACAAATTCTCAAATTTCATATGAGTATTCCCCTAGGTCCGTAGTTGTACAGGTTTTATTCTGAAAGTGGTCATACAAAACAAGATGGCCGCAATGTCTTCATCTTTCTCAATTTTCATACGAAGGTTCCACTTGGTCCAGAGTTGTGCACGTTTTATATTGGGACTGATCGGAAAAACCCACATGGCTGCTAGGTAGCCATTCTGGATTTCGACAGTAAAAGTTTGTTATCGCTATTCCTCGGAATGTACTGGCGGGGTCTTTCTCAAATTGTAAATGTATGTTTCCGTTGCTCCTCTTGTTTGAAATACCCCTGGCCCGAATGAGAATTCGTCCCTTATTTACAGCACTTCCAATTATGTTAGAACTACAGATTGTTTTTTTTCATTTTGCACATATCTAATAATGCAATACTTTTAAAATAATATTTGCCATAGTGGCATATAACATATGACGTAATGATGTTTAAGTTTATGTACAAGATTCCTGTTTAGCATTTCCAACAAAGGACTGGGTAATAGTACCTGTAAGGAAAATGAAAAGCAAGGAATGTGAAAGATCCTCTTTTGAAGGTCTGATAAAAATCCTATCATGGTGGCGTTAGGGTTGGCGATGGATGTCTTGTTATGTTACCTAGTTAACAGTATTATGTGTGCATGGTGGCCGAAACAGGAAAATCTCACGTTATATGGATTTTTGAAGGCACATTTTCCTCTTTTGCTGTTGGTTTTTTTCACGTATCTCTTGTTTTGATTTCTGCAGCAAATAACTACGTTTAAGCAGGTGCTTCCTTCCTTTTTAATTTAATGGTTATTATAGACATTGTAAAATCTAATTCTAGACCGGCCATCACCTCCGAAGGATATATACTGTTTCTCAAGGAACCATCTCGACATGAACTGCACTGTGACGTTAGCAGACAGAGACGCAAGGTCCGAGCTCGTTCCTAATATCACCGTTTATTTCCAGTCAACCAGGTAATAACATTCAATCCGGGTCAAGTACTCTTGACTTATAAATGCGAGTTAAATTTGAACTAATAAAATAAAAAAGTATCATCATTAAGGTCAAGAATTTTGGCAAAAACTTATTTTTTGTTTTTTGAAAACCCCCACTATACCAGTGAGAATAGATAGCGTCAAAGTGTATGTATGAGATGGCAAAAATCTGACAGCTCGCCACAGGCACAGGTCTCTATCTCAAAGTATACATATGAGATAGGGACAAGCTGACAGCTCGACACAGCTCACTATCTCAAAGTATACATATGAGATGGAGACAAACTGACAGCTCGCCACAGCTCACTATGTCAAAGTGTACATTTGAGATGGGGACAAGCTGACAGCTCGACGCAGCTCACTATCTCAAAGTATAAATATGAGATAGGGACAAGCTGACAGCTCGACGCAGCTCACTATCTCAAAGTATACATATGAGATGGAGACATACTGACAGCTCGCCACAGCTCACTATGTCAAAGTGTACATTTGAGATAGGGACAAGCTGACAGCTCGCCACAGCTCACTATGTCAAAGTTTACATTTGAGATGGAGTCAAGCTGACAGCTCGCCACAGCTCACTATATCAAAGTGTACATTTGAGATGGAGTCAAGCTGACAGCCCGCCACAGCTCACTATGTCAAAGTGTACATTTGAGATGGGGACAAGCTGACAGCTCGCCACAGCTCACTATGTCAATGTGTACATTTGAGATGGAGTCAAGCTGCCAGCTCGCCACAGCTCACTATGTCAAAGTGTCCATTTGAGATGGAGTCAAGCTGACAGCTCGCCACAGCTCACTATGTCAATGTGTATATTTGAGATGGAGTCAAGCTGACAGCTCGCCACAGCTCACTATGTCAGTGTGTACATTTGAGATGGAGTCAAGCTGACAGCTCGCCACAGCTCACTATGTCAAAGTGTACATTTGAGATAGGGACAAGCTGACAGCTCGACACAGCTCAGTGTCTCGTGGTCGTATTATCAATAGTTTCACACACACCTAAATTGATACGATTTTGATCGACATGTTAAACAATGCTTATCAAAAAGACTCCGTAATAAAGAAATTAAAATGCACTTACCATATAATCTTCTTATCTCAGTAAACTGATTAAATTAATGGCAATTAAAAAATCCAGTAGTTGCACACGCGACAAGACTTTCACACTACTTATATTGTCAAACGTTTACTAAAGCATGTAATAGTATTGACTGTTATTTGATCCACGCCTTATTCTTCTTCCATTTCTTTATAAATTTGTTTTTGATCAATTTAAGTAACTTCGAATTTTGTTATCTTACTATACGGCATTCCTTGTGTTTTCTGTACAGTCGCATCACAAGTAAACTTTATATTGATATGTTGATTCAGTTGTTATCTAGGAATGCTACAAAAACTGGATTAAGTAATATCGTTTTTATTTAGAACGATAAATATCAAATTGAATATCCGAGTACAACACCAATGAAATCTGGTGAACTTGATTTATTTTGATGTAATTTCGCCTAATAGAAATGAAATGTAGCGCGAGTTGTGTTTGTTTGTTATGTAATATTGAATGTGTGTGTATGTTTCTGTAAAGTGGAATGTGATCGTACATCTTCGTAACAAAAAAACATACATATAAAATATGATAAACAAACAAGTCCTTACGAAGGAAAATATAGAATAAAATAATAAATCTGTCAGATCTACCGCTTCTATTCTTTAAGTTAACTTAAAATTAATAATAACATTGATAACAGAATTGACACCTATAATAGGACTGAATTGAGGTCTTATACTTAACGTAAAAGCTGACATTGAGATCCAGTATCTCCATAAAAATCAAATAATTCGTCTGTCTATTCCAGGTCTACAAAATGGCTGAAGTGTCCTAATTACAATGCTCGGTACCACTACTGCTACTGGAGGGCTCCGCCCATCTCGGGGAAAGATTTAGACAATGACTTTGTGATCAATAGAGGGTACATTATCCTTGTCAAGGTGATGAACGTTTTAGGGAGTGACCAGTCCGAACTGCCGATTGATGACACTTCCACTATTGGTAAGAAGTAATTTAAGGATCCCTGCCCCAATGCATTAATGATAATAATAATAATTAAAGATTCTTATATACCGCTCTATCACAACCTAGTTCATAGGTCGTCTCAAAGCGGTTCACAAATTAGTATCCCTGGTTATAGGGCCTTTGCAACCAGCCAATATCTTTCTCAACTCCATGGGGAGCATACAGCCGGTGCTGTCATTTCGGCGCTAACAGCTAGCAGCTAGCATTCAACAATTCTAGCCCTGCCAAACGACGTACTCAGTTACAGCTGAGTAGACTGGAACAAGCGGAATAAAGTATCTTGTTCAAAGATACAACACAGTACCGTGCCGTGACTCGAACCCGTAACCCTTCGGTCACGAGCCCGGCGTCCTACAACTCGACTACCGTGCCTCCATTACAGCATTTTGTGGTTTCGTATATACAGTGGAGGTATTCCCTGAACGCATACATCTTTAGGACAATAGGCCTCTCCTTAATTTGACTTTAGATAGTATAACTGTAGCACAGCTGGGCCTCTCCTTATTTTGGCTTTAGATAGTATACCTGTAGCACAGCTGGGCCAGGACAGTTCCGTAGACCAGGTAGATCAGTCAGTTAAGAGCGGTCGTACAACAGCCGGAAGTCCAGGGTACGTCACTTCTAACCTCGCTGAACTTTTACAATCAGACACTTTTAATGAGTATTTCTATGTTTATTTTATCTCTTTTTTCTCCCCACAAAAATATCATATTCCTTTCAGAAGCTATAGTCATGCGTTTCTAGTGCATAGTTACAGTTTTTTTTTACAGTGGTACGGGGAACTTTAAATGACATAACGGGCGGTAGCTTGATCCTGACAAAACGACCGATGAATGACGGTGGGAGATATATAAATATATTATGAAAAGTTGTAACGTTCCGGGGTCCGTACACTAGTCTCTTCTAAGTTCTAAGGATCCCTGTGCTGTAAGCTTAATTATAACTATACTACAGTTGCAAATATATACAAATATGTGTTACTACCTTGGAACCAGCATACCTATTACCTAATACTTAATACATGATATGAACAGAATAATTACTGCACGACTATAGAACTATTACCAAAGCTATCTGCTCTGTATCAATATAACACACTACACACACTACCGTACAATCCAGGCAGTACACAACTCGACTACCTAGTCGCGGCTAGCCCTAGTCACTATAGTTGCCCTATAGTCAGCTACCTAGCTTTATGACCTAGTCGCGCCGATTACGACAGCCTTATACTAGTATACAACTACAGCACTGTCTAATGACCACGACTATCCCTAGTCACGACTAGCTCTAACGACTATACCTAGTCACGACTAGCCTGGTCACGACTAGCACCGACGACTATACCTAGTCACGACTAGCACCGACGACTATACCTAGTCACGACTAGCCTGGTCGCGACTACCCCTAGTCACGACTAGCACTAACGACTACCCTAGTCACGACTAGCCTAGTCACGACTACCCCTTGTCACGACTAGCACTAACGACTATACCTATTCTCGACTACCACCCTAGTCACGCCTAGCACTACCGACTACCCCTAGTCACGACTACCCCTAGTCACGACTACCCCTAGTCAGGACTAGCCTGGTCACGACTACCCCTTGTCTCGACTAGCACTAACGACTCCCCCTAGTCACGACTAGTACCAACGACTATACCTATTGACGACTACCACCCTAGTCACGACTAGCACCAACGACTATCCCTAGTCCCGACTAGCACTAACGACTACACATAGTCACGACTAACCTGGTCGCGACTTCCCACAGTCACGACTAGCACTAACGGCTATACCTAGTCACGACCCGCCTGGTCGCGACTAGCCCCAACGACTATACCCATTCACGACTACCACCCCAGTCACGACTAGCCTGGTCACGACTACCCCTAGTCACGACTAGCCTGGTCGCGACTACCCCTAGTCACGACTAGCACCAACGACTATACCTATTCACGACTACCACCCTAGTCACGACTAGCACTGCACAGCCTATGCCCGTGACACCTTCTGGCTAACGGTATCTCGCTACAGCACTCAATCGTTTATTTAATATATCTTCCAGGCAGTGTGTGGATCAAGGCAAGACTTATTCAGTCACTACACAAAGCCGGTCTCTCATATATTAGGTACTTGCGAACCGTCACTGCTGTACACACGCCGAGATCAGAAGTGTCGTGGTCAAACTGTGAGCACTACAGTTGTTTCCAAAATGAAATCAGGGGGTATTACTGTACAAACGACAAGAGGCTAATTGCCACGTGAGCGCGCGCTTTTTGACGATTTTGACTGAATATGTGAGATACAAGGAACATTGGTTAGTGTTTATAGTCCTAGTATGTTTTACAGGCTGGTTTTGTGGGTCGGTCGTTTCCTGTAGACTACGATGGGGTGATTTAGTTTTAATTATATTCTTTTTCGTGTCCCCATCCTCTGATTAAGGACATTTGATCACTTCCTCCCCTATGTACATATCTGACACCCCCAGTCTCGCTGTGTGTGTAAGTTTCCTCCTTCCTCCTGCTTATAGACGTTTAGATAACATATGTGTGCATGCATTATTAAACTTTTACAGTAAAAAGTAATTTATGTTCGAGTATTCAATCATTCAAATATTGGCGATTTATTTGGGGCTCGCTGCGTATGCGCAGTTTAATAATCAAAATAATGTTATTGAAGACTTGTTTGTCTGTTAATCTGTAACATTTCATTTTAAAGTTATAGACTCGGTCTCATATTTAGTTTACACTAGGGGCCGTGGTGGCCGAGTAGTTAAGGCGTCTGACATTCTGCTACCACTAGCCCCTCGCCACGGGGTCACAGATTTGAGGCCTACGTGGGGCAGTCGCCAAGTACTAGTCGCAGGTCGGATTTTTTCTCCGGGTACTCCGGCTTTCCTCCACCACCAAAACCTGGTACGTCCTTAAATGACCATAGCTGTTAGTAGGCCGATGTAGTTGATCAGCACTACACTTGAACATTATTCTTATTTTAGAATTCAAACATACATTGCTACTATAAACTACTGTTTTCTATTCTCAGTGACGATATCTAACCTGCACCAATTTAAAGGAATCAATATTACCAGTAGAAAGGCCGTCCTTACCTGGGGATTACCGGAAGCTCTATTTCCGGTGACATTTGACATCGACTTTGAAATCAACTATACATCAAAATGGGACCCTGAGAAACAGGTGATTTTCTTAATAGTTCTTTTTATTACGAATTGACATAACTATTATATATACAATGACATGCTATAAGTCCTTTACTTAACATCATTTCACGTTGCCATTCATTCTGTGTTAATTAACTTTTTTAGTTGAGCCGTGTCTCAATTTTTATGTCACTTTAAATTACGATACTATTGCAAACAGCTGTACGTCTTTTACAAGAAAGAATTATCATAGGCGTTATCGTTATCTATAGCTTTCCTTGATTTTGATTGGCTAATTCTTGGTATCAGGTTCGCCAATGTGCATGTATAGCGTATCGACCCCGAATTTCTATTTTAGTCTTGCGCGTGAATGTATCGACCTCATTTTTGTAAATTTTGATCCGGATATTTTGTTCTGAAAACCCATTGATTTCACTTTTTGGAATCTGATATTCCAGGTAAACACATGTTATGTAATATAAAACTAAAGGACATTTGCTTCGGTTATATACAAGTATCGACCTCGACGAAAGTCTATAATTGATAATGATATATGCTTACTATCAATAAAGTAAATATATTGGAATCAAGTCTGTCTTTTGCATATCTTTTCAATATAAATTATGATTTGCTCTCTGTTCTCCATATTGGAGTACATTTTGTTTCACAAAATTGTAACTAGAATTCTAATCTAAATCTTTTTTATTAAAGATTATTTACAGAAGTAAAAAACAAATGCGCAAAGTAATGAAAGACCTCATCCCAAATACAAAATATGACGTGTCTATTCGGGCAAGAGGACGTCGAATGGTTTTGGATGAACGAAGCTGGAGTCCCGTGAATAAGGTTTCTTTTAAGACCAAAAAGGACGGTAAGACATATGGCCTATATAAAATGATAATCCTTAAAGGTAGAATTAGCGAAAAAATGTTAGACATGTTTTTTGTACATAACATTTTTGTACTAACAAATATTACTTACAATTTTACACTAGTTACACTGATAATTGTAAGTCACATTACATGTACTCATCATCATCAATCTTTATGTACAGATACTGGTAAGTTACATTAATAGGTAGAACTCAGACAGTAGTAGTTGAAAGGGAGAAGTCTGATTTTGTCGATGTCCATTCCGGTGTACCCCAGGGGCCAGTTTTGGGACCCAGTTTATTTCTTTACTTTATAAACGATATCCCTGCGGGTCTAAATGCTACAATCCGTTTATTTGCAGACGACACTATTGCATATCTAGATATCAAGTCAAACAGTGATGCTGAAACACTTCAAAAAGATCTTGACAAACTAGCGCTCTGGGAAAATACATGGAAAATGATCTTCCACCCCCACAAATGCAATGTGTTGTCGGTTACTAAAAACAAAACTCCAATAGGCCATAATTATACTTTACATGGACACATACTAGAACATCTTAGTCAGGCCAAGTATCTGGGGGTAAATTCCCCACTCAAAAACCCAAACCAGAAAGGCATCATTCTTCCCTAGAACTATACCCGAGTGGAATAAACTCCCACCTGACATTATTTCGAGCACCACAACGGAATTATTCAAATCAACCCTCTACCGTCTCCTTTCAAACGCAAATTAGACCTTCTCGTATCTTTTAAAAACACTCTCTTTCCATGTTTCACTCCTCGTCTGACATTTTATCTACAAATTGTTGAAGTTGGTCAGTACCATTTAGAAGTAGAAGTAATGTTGATAATGGTTAGTTACACTTTATATACTGATAAATGTTTTACTGTATATAGCACAGGGGCATGGATCGCTTTACTTGTAATATAAAAAAATAGGGGTCTCCTATACTAATATATACAAAGGGATATAACGACAGACTGAAATCCGTTACCCCCTTTTCTCTTTCAGCTCGTGTCAATCACAAATCTTTGTCCATATTGGATATACCTCGGTTGAATATTGAAGACAATTGATTTATTTACAAAATGAAACCATAATTACGACTGTCTGACATATAGTTATCCACTGACATTGCTTTAAAGTCGCAATTACACCATTAAATTGCGACCGAACCATATTCTATACTCACGAGAAATGACCAAGTTTCGCGGATAAACTCGATAAATATATCCAAGGAATGGTTTAAATCCTTATTTAATATCCTCAATCCAATACATGTGCTGCCCGCTTCTCTGAAATACTACGTCGATCAGTTTCTACACATGACAAGTGGTATATGGGGATTTTCCCCTCGCACACCTGCATTACACAGCAGCAGTCGACAAATAGGCGCCATTTTCTTTCGAATTATTTTACGCTCCGCACAGAATGATGTCCCGCCCTATCAGTGGCGGAAAACAAATGAGGTAACATTTTTGGAGTAGTTTCCCTTTCGCATACATACAGGTAGCNTAAAGCAATGTCAGTGGATAACTATATGTCAGACAGTCGTAATTATGGTTTCATTTTGTAAATAAATCAATTGTCTTCAATATTCAACCGAGGTATATCCAATATGGACAAAGATTTGTGATTGACACGAGCTGAAAGAGAAAAGGGGGTAACGGATTTCAGTCTGTCGTTATATCTCTTTGTATATATTAGTACAGGAGACCCCTATTTTTTTATATTACAAGTAAAGCGATCCATGCCCCTGTGGTATATAGCGTTAATCGTAGTTACACTATACATATACTGATAATTGTTTTACTGTATATAGCGTTAATCGTAGTTACACTATACATATACTGATAATTGTTTTACTGTATATAGCGTTAATCGTAGTTTCACTATACATACCGGTAATCGTAGTTACACTTTATATACTGATAATTAATTTAATATATATGCCGGTAATCAATTTCTGCTTTTCCCATCCCCGTTTCAATTAATTCCAGTCAATTTGTTGTATATTTATTTTTCAAGGCGTATGTCATGCAAGTTATATTTGTGAACACAATTTTGAATTAATGATAAACTGGTTATTTACGACAAAAAAAACACCCAAAAGATTATTTTTATGTGTGAAATTTTGGTAAGATACATCTATTTTAATTCAAATCCTTCTTGCAGAACAGAGTTGCACAGAATATTAATCATGATAAAACTTGAATAAGTTTGCTTAATTAAGTGAGTATTAATGTAAAGGACCGTAGTTGATGTATTCCATTCTTAGACGGTTCCTCATGTATATAATTTGTCTGGAATTAATAAAAAACTAAAAAGTTAAAGGTGATTTGGGATTATACAGTAATCAGGTTTATATGGTCAGTCAGAGATCATCTGGGATAATTCAGAGGACACTGTATGGTCAGCCAGAGGTCATCTGTCATGATACAGTGATCACTGTAATGTCAGTTATAGGTCATCTTTCATGATACAGTGATCACTGTGATGTCAGTTATAGGTCATCTGTCATGAAACAGTGATCACTGTGATGTCAGTTATAAGTCATCTGCCATGATACCGTGATCACTGTAATGTCAGTTATAGGTCATCTGTCATGATACAGTGATCACTGTGATGTCAGTTATAGGTCATCTGTCATGATACAGTGATCACTGTGATGTCAGTTATAGGTCATCTGTCATGATACAGTGATCACTGTGATGTCAGTTATAGGTCATCTGTCATGATACAGTGATCACTGTGATGTCATTTATAGGTCATCTGTCATGATACAGTGATCAATGTAATGTCAGTTATAGGTCATCTGTCATGATACAGTGATCACTGTAATGTCAGCTATAGGTCATCTGTCGTGATACAGTGATCACTTAATCTGTCATGCCCAGATTAAGTAATCACTGTATCATGAAAGATGACCTATAACTGACTTTACAGTGATCACTATATCATGACAGATGATCTATAACTGAAAGTACAGTGATCACTGTGATGACATTTATAGGTCATCTGTCATGGGATAGTGATCACTGTAATGTCAGATATAGGTCATCTGTCGTGATACAGTGATCACTGTAATGTCAGTTATTGGTCATCTGTCATGAAACAGGGATCACTGTGATGTCAGTTATAGGTCATCTGTCATGATACAGTGATCACTTAATCTGGGCATGATTTCCTTTGATCGGTAAGCTTTAAAATTCAGTTGAAAAGAGCATTTTAACTTCACAAATAAGGGAAAGAGGACAAACAAAAATCAAGAACATAAGCATTTTTGAATATATGAATCAATCGCATTATTATATCGCATTTTAAATACAGTTAAAAAGGGCATTTTAACTTTACAATTAATAGAAAGAGGACAAACAAAAATCAAGAACATCAGCATTATTGAATATATGAATCAATCGCATTATAATAATGCTATAATGGGTATTTCATAAGATGTTGATGTTCAACATACAAGAACGAAAGCTGAATATATCGTTGTGAAATGGATGATAATGTATGAGTAATAATAACTGGTTCCTAAGCTATATGACTTTGAGTCCATAGTTTTGTTTTATTAAGTGTATATTTTACATTTCATAATGCACCATACACAGAAATAATGGATTGCTTGCCAAGTAATCACTCATTATGCTTGTTATTTAACACCATATCAATACCATTAGTCACACGTAATATCTTCCTAATGATCAGTAGAAATTATAGTAATCTACTTACCAGATTAGCACAAGGAATATAATATATAAGTGGCATGCTACAGATTGTTTACTAAGTGTCTGGATTTGGATTTTATAACAGTCAAACATATCTACAGTCGAATCTGCTCAAGCGACCATTCGTATTAAACCACCATCTGTTTTATGCGACCACTTTTCATTCCTCCCGACCGTTTAATTTTCACTATGTAATTTAACTGTAATACGCGACCATCTGTCTAACGCGACCAGCGACCACCCAATACTGGCCCCAAAATTACGTTAAACGACCACATTTGATACATTTTAGCGACCATGTTTGACGAAAATATACCAAACTATCGTTGAAATAGTTGTGTAACTCCAAATTTGCGACCATCACCACATTTGATGAAGGGCTACTTCACGATCTTTTCACCAAGTTCAGTGAACAAATTTAGCATAATTTGCTAAAACCGTTTAATCAACAAAAGAACCTATACGGTTACTCTAGCCAATTAAAATGTATTTCCTGATAAGGTGACAGCCTATTTTGAAAATATGCTTGCTATGCAGCTGTTGTTTGGTGGCGCGTGCTCCAAGATAACCTTCTCACTACAAACAATGTATTCTGGGATGTAATCAAATTAGCGGCATCCATTACCGGAAGTCATTTCTCGCCAATAATCATACAGGTGAACACTCAGGTGTCAGGTGTTCACCCAAAACATGTAGTTCAGCATATCTTTTTTCATTCATTTAAATCTATTCTTCAAGGTAGCATTACCTCCCGTTGTAATAACATGCCAACTACATGTTATTGTTTACCTCCACAGCCCCGAGTGCGGCCCCGAGGTCTACAGTAGGGGGATACTTCCTGTCCAGACCTGGTATCAACAACACGGGCGATAACTGTGCTTTACAAATCTACCTCAAGGTATGTGCGAATATATATAAGGTTAAGGATGTATTCCTATTACGGATTTCAATAGTTTGATATACATCGGATATCAGCATTAATCTTTATTAAATTTTAATAACAGACAGGCTGGTTTAAAACATTGAACGTTATTTAATCTCAAAGTTTGCTATAATGATATTTTCATAAGAAAATAGTGATTAAGGTAGTACTGGTGTGGATAAGAGCTATGACATTGGACTGTCGTTCAAGTATATGTCAATCATAAAGTATACTTTGTCTCTGTTTGGTGGCACTTTGTTATACCTTGTCATTGTATGTTGACGATTTGGTATACCTTGTTCCTGTGTGTTAACGCTGTGATATACTTTGATCCTGTGTGGTGACACATTGGTCTACATTGTCCTTGTGTGTTAACGCTGTGGTATACCTTGTACATGTGTGTTGACAATTTGGTATACCTTGTCCTTATGTGTTGACGCTGTGGTATACTTTGTCCTTGTATGTTGACGCTGTGGTATACTTTGTACATGTGTGTTGACAATTTGGTATACCTTGTCCTTATGTGTTGACGCTGTGGTATACTTTGTCCTTGTATGTTGACGCTGTGGTATACTTTGTACATGTGTGTTGACGCTGTGGTATACCTTGTACATGTGTGTTGACGCTGTGGTATACCTTGTACATGTATGTTGACGCTGTGGTATACCTTGTACATGTGTGTTGACGCTGTGGTATACCTTGTACATGTGTGTTGACGCTGTGGTATACCTTGTACATGTATGTTGACGCTGTGGTATACCTTGTACATGTGTGTTGACGCTGTGGTATACCTTGTACATGTGTGTTGACGCTGTGGTATACCTTGTACATGTATGTTGACGCTGTGGTATACCTTGTACATGTGTGTTGACGCTGTGGTATACCTTGTACATGTGTGTTGACGCTGTGGTATACCTTGTACATGTATGTTGACGCTGTGGTATACCTTGTACATGTGTGTTGACGCTGTGGTATACCTTGTACATGTGTGTTGACGCTGTGGTATACCTTGTACATGTATGTTGACGCTGTGGTATACCTTGTACATGTGTGTTGACGCTGTGGTATACCTTGTACATGTGTGTTGACGCTGTGGTATACCTTGTACATGTATGTTGACGCTGTGGTATACCTTGTACATGTATGTTGACGCTGTGGTATACCTTGTACATGTGTGTTGACGCTGTGGTATACCTTGTACATGTGTGTTGACGCTGTGGTATACCTTGTACATGTATGTTGACGCTGTGGTATACCTTGTACATGTATGTTGACGCTGTGGTATATTTTGGCCCCTGTGTGGTGACACGTTGGTCTACGTCGTGCTTGTGTGTAGACGCTGTGTTATTAATTGTCATTGTGTGTTGACGCTGTGGTATACCTTGTACATGTGTGTTGACGCTGTGGTATACTTTGTACATGTGTGTTGACGCTGTGGTATACCTTATACATGTGTGTTGACGCTGAGGAATAATTTGTACATGTGTGTTGACGCTGTGGTATACTTTGTCCTTGTATATTGACGCTGTGGTATACTTTGTACATGTGTGTTGACGCTGTGGTATACCTTATACATGTGTGTTGACGCTGTGGTATAATTTGTACATGTGTGTTGACGCTGTGGTATACTTTGTCCTTGTATGTTGACGCTGTGGTATACCTTGTACATGTGTGTTGACTCTGTGGTATACCTTATACATGTGTGTTGACGCTGTGGTATAATTTGTACATGTGTGTTGACGCTGTGGTATAATTTGTCTTTCTGGGTTGACGCTTTTATATACATTGTCCGTGCGTGTTGACGCTGTGGTATACCTTGTTCCTGTGTGGTGACCCTGTGATTTACTTTGTTCTTGTATGATGACACATTGGTATACCTTGGTATTGTGTGTTGACGCTACGCTTTACCATGTCCCTGTGTGTTGACACTTTGGTATTCCTTGTCCTTACATGTTAACCCTTGGGTATGTTAGTTTTATTTTTATATTACCGAAGCCTGTCCCGAAGAAGCAGAGAAATTGTGATCTGTCTGACATGAGCTACAGGGTGACCCTGGAGGGCGAAACGAACCCAGAGTATAAAGTAGTTGATCCTGCTGCGACACTTATACTAGTACTTAGCCACAAGTCATGTTTGAACAAAGGACCAAACAGAGTGATTGTTCAGGCGTGTACCGAGGGATACCAATGTTCCAGGAAACGTTCAGTCATTCACATTCCTTCAGTCGATAAGGATAGTGACACCGGTGAGCAGATATATATATATATTCAACTGTACAATTCGTATCCATATGTACATTGTGATACAGGTACGCATAATTCGTCATTATGACCATGACGATCGGGTCGCGAGTTCAAGGCCTGGACAGGGCACGCGTCATACATTATCTTCCTACGTCACTTGTGTTTCTATGTCATTTATTTATTACCAAAGACACATCATATCTAGTAGTGTACGTTGATCCTAAAGTTTAAGATATGAACTACCTGTCGTAATTGTAGCATGTAATATATATATATATATGTATATATAAAAAATATATTAATATCTGAATTATCCAGATATTTTTGTGTTATTTTGCTTAACCTCACGTATTCAAGATAAAATTTGTACAATAACTAGCCTTCTGTTACAAGCTAACCAACAGAAATAACCTCCCTGATCAGTTCATCTTTAGCAACAAGAATAACTAACCCTCCCTGATCAGTTCATCTTTAGCAACAAGAATAAATAACATCTCCCTGATCAGTTCATCTTTAGCAACAAGAATACTAACATCTCCGTGATCAGTTCATCTTTAGCAACAGGAATATTAAGCAAGAGGAATAACTAACCCTCCCTGATCAGTTCATCTTTAGCAACAAGAATAACTAACACCTCCCTGATCAGTTCATCTTTAGCAACAAGAATAACTAACACTCCCCTGATCAGTTCATCTTTAGCAACAAGAATAAATAACATCTCCCTGATCAGTTCATCTTTAGCAACAAGAATACTAACATCTCCGTGATCAGTTCATCTTTAGCAACAGGAATATTAAGCAAGAGGAATAACTAACCCTCCCTGATCAGTTCATCTTTAGCAACAAGAATAACTAACATCTTCCTGATCAGTTCATCTTTAGCAACAAAAATTACTAACACCTGCCTGATCAGTTCATCTTTAGCAACAAGAATAACTAACATCTCCGTGATCAGTTCATCTTTAGCAACAAGAATAACTAACCCTCTCTGATCAGTTCATCTTTAGCAACAAGAATAACTAACCCTCCCTGATCAGTTCATCTTTAGCAACAAGAATAACTAACATCTCCCTGATCAGTTCATCTTTAGCAACAAGAATAACTAACATCTCCCTGATCAGTTCATCTTTAGCAACAAGAATAACTAACATCTCCCTGATCAGTTCATCTTTAGCAACAAGAATAACTAACATCTCCCTGATCAGTTCATCTTTAGCAACAAGAATAACTAACATCTCCCTGATCAGTTCATCTTTAGCAACAAGAATAACTAACATCTCCCTGATCAGTTCATCTTTAGCAACAAGAATAACTAACACCTCCCTGATCAGTTCATCTTTAGCAACAAGAATAACTAACATCTTCCTGATCAGTTCATCTTTAGCAACAAAAATTACTAACACCTGCCTGATCAGTTCATCTTTAGCAACAAGAATAACTAACATCTCCGTGATCAGTTCATCTTTAGCAACAAGAATAACTAACCCTCTCTGATCAGTTCATCTTTAGCAACAAGAATAACTAACATCTCCCTGATCAGTTCATCTTTAGCAACAAGAATAACTAACATCTCCCTGATCAGTTCATCTTTAGCAACAAGAATAACTAACATCTCCCTGATCAGTTCATCTTTAGCAACAAGAATAACTAACATCTCCCTGATCAGTTCATCTTTAGCAACAAGAATAACTAACATCTCCCTGATCAGTTCATCTTTAGCAACAAGAATAACTAACATCTCCCTGATCAGTTCATCTTTAGCAACAAGAATAACTAACACCTCCCTGATCAGTTCATCTTTAGCAACAAGAATAACTAACATCTCCCTGATCAGTTCATCTTTAGCAACAAGAATAACTAACATCTCCCTGATCAGTTCATCTTTAGCAACAAGAATAACTAACATCTCCGTGATCAGTTCATCTTTAGCAACAAGAATAACTAACACCTCCCTGATCAGTTCATCTTTATCACAGGAATAACTTAGTCCTCCCTGATCAGTTTATCTTAAGTAACAGGAATAACAAACCCTCCCTGATCGGTTCATCTTTAGCAACAGGAATAGCTTAGTCCTCCCTGATCAGTTTATTTTTAACAACAGGAATAAATTCGTCCTCCCAGATCAATTTATCGTAAGTAACAAGCATAACTAAAACCTCCCTGATCAGTTCATCTTTAGCAACAAGAATAACTAACATCTTCCTGATCAGTTCATCTTTAGCAACAAAAATTACTAACACCTGCCTGATCAGTTCATCTTTAGCAACAAGAATAACTAACATCTCCGTGATCAGTTCATCTTTAGCAACAAGAATAACTAACCCTCTCTGATCAGTTCATCTTTAGCAACAAGAATAACTAACCCTCCCTGATCAGTTCATCTTTAGCAACAAGAATAACTAACATCTCCGTGATCAGTTCATCTTTAGCAACAAGAATAACTAACCCTCTCTGATCAGTTCATCTTTAGCAACAAGAATAACTAACCCTCCCTGATCAGTTCATCTTTAGCAACAAGAATAACTAACATCTCCCTGATCAGTTCATCTTTAGCAACAAGAATAACTAACATCTCCCTGATCAGTTCATCTTTAGCAACAAGAATACTAACATCTCCGTGATCAGTTCATCTTTAGCAACAGGAATATTAAGCAAGAGGAATAACTAACCCTCCCTGATCAGTTCATCTTTAGCAACAAGAATAACTAACATCTCCGTGATCAGTTCATCTTTAGCAACAAGAAAAACTAACACCTCCCTGATCAGTTCATCTTTATCACAGGAATAACTTAGTCCTCCCTGATCAGTTTTTTTTAGCAACAGGAATAACTTAGTCCTCCCTGATCAATTTATCTGAAGTAACAGGAATATTAAGCAACAGTAATAGCTAACCCTCCCTGATCAGTTCATCTTTAGCAACAAGAATAACTAACATCTCCGTGATCAGTTCATCTTTAGCAACAAGAAAAACTAACACCTCCCTGATCAGTTCATCTTTATCACAGGAATAACTTAGTCCTCCCTGATCAGTTTATTTTAGCAACAGGAATAACTTAGTCCTCCCTGATCAATTTATCTGAAGTAACAGGAATATTAAGCAACAGTAATAGCTAACCCTCCCTGATCAGTTCATCTTTAGCAACAAGAATAACTAACATCTCCGTGATCAGTTCATCTTTAGCAACAAGAAAAACTAACACCTCCCTGATCAGTTCATCTTTATCACAGGAATAACTTAGTCCTCCCTGATCAGTTTATCTTAAGTAACAGGAATATCAAACCCTCCCTGATCGGTTCATCTTTAGCAACAGGAATAGCTTAGTCCTCCCTGATCAGTTTATTTTTAACAACAGGAATAAATTAGTCCTCCCAGATCAATTTATCGTAAGTAACAAGCATAACTAAAACCTCCCTGATCAGTTCATCTTTAGCAACAAGAATAACTAACATCTTCCTGATCAGTTCATCTTTAGCAACAAAAATTACTAACACCTGCCTGATCAGTTCATCTTTAGCAACAAGAATAACTAACATCTCCGTGATCAGTTCATCTTTAGCAACAAGAATAACTAACCCTCTCTGATCAGTTCATCTTTAGCAACAAGAATAACTAACCCTCCCTGATCAGTTCATCTTTAGCAACAAGAATAACTAACACCTCCGTGATCAGTTCATCTTTAGCAACAAGAATAACTAACATCTCCCTGATCAGTTCATCTTTAGCAACAAGAATAACTAACATCTCCGTGATCAGTTCATCTTTAGCAACAAGAATAACTAACACTCTCTGATCAGTTCATCTTTAGCAACAAGAATAACTAACATCTCCCTGATCAGTTCATCTTTAGCAACAAGAATAACTAACACCTCCCTGATCAGTTCATCTTTAGCAACAAGAATAACTAACATCTCCGTGATCAGTTCATCTTTAGCAACAAGAAAAACTAACACCTCCCTGATCAGTTCATCTTTATCACAGGAATAACTTAGTCCTCCCTGATCAGTTTATCTTAAGTAACAGGAATATTAAGCAACAGTAATAGCTAACCCTCCCTGATCAGTTCATCTTTAGCAACAAGAATAACTAACATCTCCGTGATCAGTTCATCTTTAGCAACAAGAAAAACTAACACCTCCCTGATCAGTTCATCTTTATCACAGGAATAACTTAGTCCTCCCTGATCAGTTTATCTTAAGTAACAGGAATATTAAGCAACAGTAATAGCTAACCCTCCCTGATCAGTTCATCTTTAGCAACAAGAATAACTAACATCTCCGTGATCAGTTCATCTTTAGCAACAAGAAAAACTAACACCTCCCTGATCAGTTCATCTTTATCACAGGAATAACTTAGTCCTCCCTGATCAGTTTATCTTAAGTAACAGGAATATTAAGCAACAGTAATAGCTAACCCTCCCTGATCAGTTCATCTTTAGCAACAAGAATAACTAACATCTCCGTGATCAGTTCATCTTTAGCAACAAGAAAAACTAACACCTCCCTGATCAGTTCATCTTTATCACAGGAATAACTTAGTCCTCCCTGATCAGTTTTTTTTAGCAACAGGAATAACTTAGTCCTCCCTGATCAATTTATCTGAAGTAACAGGAATATTAAGCAACAGTAATAGCTAACCCTCCCTGATCAGTTCATCTTTAGCAACAAGAATAACTAACATCTCCGTGATCAGTTCATCTTTAGCAACAAGAATAACTAACACCTCCCTGATCAGTTCATCTTTATCACAGGAATAACTTAGTCCTCCCTGATCAGTTTATCTTAAGTAACAGGAATAACTAACCCTCCCTGATCGGTTCATCTTTAGCAACAGGAATAGCTTAGTCCTCCCTGATCAGTTTATTTTTAACAACAGGAATAAATTAGTCCTCCCAGATCAATTTATCGTAAGTAACAAGCATAACTAAAACCTCCCTGATCAGTTCATCTTTAGCAACAAGAATAACTAACATCTTCCTGATCAGTTCATCTTTAGCAACAAAAATTACTAACACCTGCCTGATCAGTTCATCTTTAGCAACAAGAATAACTAACATCTCCGTGATCAGTTCATCTTTAGCAACAAGAATAACTAACCCTCTCTGATCAGTTCATCTTTAGCAACAAGAATAACTAACCCTCCCTGATCAGTTCATCTTTAGCAACAAGAATAACTAACACCTCCGTGATCAGTTCATCTTTAGCAACAAGAATAACTAACATCTCCGTGATCAGTTCATCTTTAGCAACAAGAATAACTAACACCTCCCTGATCAGTTCATCTTTATCACAGGAATAACTTAGTCCTCCCTGATCAGTTTATCTTAAGTAACAGGAATAACTAACCCTCCCTGATCGGTTCATCTTTAGCAACAGGAATAGCTTAGTCCTCCCTGATCAGTTTATTTTTAACAACAGGAATAAATTAGTCCTCCCAGATCAATTTATCGTAAGTAACAAGCATAACTAAAACCTCCCTGATCAGTTCATCTTTAGCAACAAGAATAACTAACATCTTCCTGATCAGTTCATCTTTAGCAACAAAAATTACTAACACCTGCCTGATCAGTTCATCTTTAGCAACAAGAATAACTAACATCTCCGTGATCAGTTCATCTTTAGCAACAAGAATAACTAACCCTCTCTGATCAGTTCATCTTTAGCAACAAGAATAACTAACCCTCCCTGATCAGTTCATCTTTAGCAACAAGAATAACTAACACCTCCCTGATCAGTTCATCTTCAGCAACACGAGTAACTAACACCTCCCTGATCGATTCATCTTTAGCAACAAGAATAACTAACCCTCCCTGATCAGTTCATCTGCAGCAACACGAATAACTAGCCCCTCCCTGATCAGTTCATCTTTAGCAACAGGAATAACTAACATTTCCGTGATCAGTTTATTTTACCAAAATAAATCAGTCACCACGAAAGATAGTGTATCAATAGCTACATGAATAACGTACACCTCCCTGATCAGGATCTTAGTACAAACATCGATAGTTATCACTCAATGATCAGTTTATCATTGGCGATGTATATAACTCACACTCCAATCTACTTCACATTAATACTGTTTTGCTGTCGTTAGTTCTTTTTTCTTTCTTAATTTCAAGAGATTCCACGAGCAACAGAAGTCATTGTGGAGGGATTTGGAGACACACATTTTACAGTGTCCTGGTCAACAGCGGCTTATGTCAATGCAAGTCTTGTTAGACAAGTCACGATATTCTGGTGTAGAGGAAATAAGGATCAACATGTATGCGAGGTAATTAATGACGTCACTATATCGTGGTGTAGAGGAAATAGGGAACAGCATGTGTGTAAGGTAAGTAGTGACGTCACTATATCGTGGTGTAGAGGAAATAGGGAACAGCATGTTTGTAAGGTAAATAATGACGTCACTATATCGTGGTGTAGAGGAAATAGGGAACAGCATGTATGTGAGGTAAATAATGACGTCATTATATTGTGGTGTAGAGTAAAAAGGGAACAACATGTATGTAAGGTAAGTAATTACGTCACTATATCCTGGTGTAGAGGAAATATGGAACAGCATGCATATAAGGTAAGTAATGACGTCACTATAACGTGGTGTAGAGGAAATAGGGAGCAACATGTATGTGAGGTCAATAATGACGTCATTATATTGTGGTGTAGAGTAAAAAGGGAACAACATGTATGTAAGGTTAATAATGACGTCACTATATTATGATGTAGAAATAGTAGGGAAACGTTAGGTAAGGTCAGTAATTACGTGACTTTATTGTGATGTAGAGGAAGTAGTGAAGACCTTGTATGGAAGGTAATTGATGACGTCACGTTTTCGTGGTGTAGAAGAAGTTGTGAACAACATTTAAGTAACGCCGTCGTGCTATTCTAGTGAAGACAAAGTAGGAAAGATTGTTTAGTAAGGTAGATTTGAGTAACTAAATATATGGTATGACGCGGTTATATAAGCCTCTGATAATGTTTCCTAGCTTTATTTGTATATCATTAGGTGAATGTTACTTTTATCCACTACAGAGTTTAAAATATAATGCATATGGTTTGCTGAAAATGTTCATGTTGATTTTGTATTTCCCCCCAGAGAAATCTGTCATGGAAGATAATAAAGAAGTATGTGGCAAATGCTGATATTGAAGTTAAACATTTAAATTACCGAAACTGGATTTTTGCGGTGTCACTCACAACACATAAAGGGAAAAGCGGTGGCATGGCGTTTGCTGACTGTCAGTTCCTTTATGATAAAACCGAATCCCAGGAGATAACGGCCGTGGGTATGTAGTCAGTTCCTTTTTGATAAAACCAAATCCCAGTAGAGAACGGCCGTGGGTATGAAGTCAGTTCCTTTTTGATAAAACCAAATCCCAGGAGAGAACGGCCGTGGGTATGTAGTCAGTTCCTTTTTGATAAAACCAAATCCCAGGAGAGAACGGCCGTGGGTATGTAGTCAGTTCCTTTTTGATAAAACCAAATCCCAGGAGAGAACGGCCGTGGGTATGTAGTCAATTCCTTTTTGATAAAACCAAATCCCAGGAGAGAACGGCCGTGGGTATGTAATCAATTCCTTTTTGATAAAACCAAATCCCAGGAGAGAACGGCCGTGGGTATGTAATCAATTCCTTTTTGATAAAACCAAATCCCAGGAGAGAACGGCCGTGGGTATGTAATCAAATCCTTTTTGATAAAACCAAATCCCAGGAGAGAACGGCCGTGGGTATGTAATCAATTCCTTTTTGATAAAACCAAATCCCAGGAGAGAACGGCCGTGGGTATGTAATCAAATCCTTTTTGATAAAACCAAATCCCAGGAGAGAACGGCCGTGGGTATGTAATCAAATCCTTTTTGATAAAACCAAATCCCAGGAGAGAACGGCCGTGGGTATGTAATCAAATCCTTTTTGATAAAACCAAATCCCAGGAGAGAACGGCCGTGGGTATGTAATCAAATCCTTTTTGATAAAACCAAATCCCAGGAGAGAACGGCCGTGGGTATGTAATCAAATCCTTTTTGATAAAACCAAATCCCAGGAGAGAACGGCCGTGGGTATGTAATCAAATCCTTTTTGATAAAACCAAATCCCAGGAGAGAACGGCCGTGGGTATGTAATCAAATCCTTTTTGATAAAACCAAATCCCAGGAGAGAACGGCCGTGGGTATGTAATCAAATCCTTTTTGATAAAACCAAATCCCAGGAGAGAACGGCCGTGGGTATGTAATCAAATCCTTTTTGATAAAACCAAATCCCAGGAGAGAACGGCCGTGGGTATGTAATCAAATCCTTTTTGATAAAACCAAATCCCAGGAGAGAACGGCCGTGGGTATGTAATCAAATCCTTTTTGATAAAACCAAATCCCAGGAGAGAACGGCCGTGGGTATGTAATCAAATCCTTTTTGATAAAACCAAATCCCAGGAGAGAACGGCCGTGGGTATGTAATCAAATCCTTTTTGATAAAACCAAATCCCAGGAGAGAACGGCCGTGGGTATGTAATCAAATCCTTTTTGATAAAACCAAATCCCAGGAGAGAACGGCCGTGGGTATGTAATCAAATCCTTTTTGATAAAACCAAATCCCAGGAGAGAACGGCCGTGGGTATGTAATCAAATCCTTTTTGATAAAACCAAATCCCAGGAGAGAACGGCCGTGGGTATGTAATCAAATCCTTTTTGATAAAACCAAATCCCAGGAGAGAACGGCCGTGGGTATGTAATCAAATCCTTTTTGATAAAACCAAATCCCAGGAGAGAACGGCCGTGGGTATGTAATCAAATCCTTTTTGATAAAACCAAATCCCAGGAGAGAACGGCCGTGGGTATGTAATCAAATCCTTTTTGATAAAACCAAATCCCAGGAGAGAACGGCCGTGGGTATGTAATCAAATCCTTTTTGATAAAACCAAATCCCAGGAGAGAACGGCCGTGGGTATGTAATCAAATCCTTTTTGATAAAACCAAATCCCAGGAGAGAACGGCCGTGGGTATGTAATCAAATCCTTTTTAATAAAACCAAATCCAAGGAGAGAACGGCCGTGGGTATGTAGTCAAATCCTTTTTAATAAAACCAAATCCCAGGAGAGAACGGCCGTGGGTATGATGAAGTCAGTGTTAATGATAAAACCAATCCCAGGAGAGAACGGCCGTGGGTATGATGAAGTCAGTGTTAATGATAAAACCAAATCACAGGAGAGAACGGCCGTTGGTATGTAGTCAGTCGTTATGATAAAACTAAATCACAGGAGAAAATGGCTCAGCCCCAAGGGAGTTAGAGCTTCTATGATACCTCTGTTCATTGTATAACGTCTCGTCAACAATACAATGACGTCATATCAACATGGCATCGACGTCTACCCTGCAAAACCTCGTGATTGGCAACTTAACAACCTTTCTCTCAGGTTGAGATTCCCCTTTCTCATCGCCAAGAAGATGAACGATTTAGCCGGAGTGATTCCCCCTGTCAATTAAGTTGATCCTTTGGGTTGAGAGTTTCCTCTCTAATCCACAAGCGGTTGAACAGTTCTTTTCATACAGTAGACGTTACGTTACGTAACAACATTATCCTCCAAAAGAGACGTCTGACAGATATGTCATGTAAAATGTAATTCTTTTTTTTGTGTTCCTTAGCATCAGTGAAGCCAACTTTTAACCTTTTGACGGGAAACAGTATGAAATCACTCGACATCGTCTCCCTGTCCTTCAGATACTGCGATGTTCAGTTTCTGAACAGAAAACCAGAACAATACGAAGTGTTCTATAAGAAAGCATCAGGGGACGAGGAAGAGGACTGCATGGAAGGTAATACTTTATATATATACTCTCGGTGAAGCTATTAATATATGTCACTCCAGTAAATATATATACTCTCGGTGGAGCTATCAATATATGTCGCTCCAGTAAATATATGTACCCTCGGTGAAGCTACCAATATATGTCACTCCAGTAAATATATATACTCTCGGCGAAGCTATCAATATATGTCGCTCCAATAAATATATGTACCCTCGGTTAAGCTACCAATATATGTCGCTCCAGTAAATATATGTACCCTCGGTGAAGCTACCAATATATGTTGCCCCAGTAAATATATATACCCTCGGTGAAGCTACCAATATATGTAGCTCCAGTAAATATATATACTCTCGATGAAGCTATCAATATATGTAGCTCCAGTAAATATATATACTCTCGGTGGAGCTATCAATATATGTCGCTCCAGTAAAAATATATACTCTCGGTGAAGCTATCAATATATGTCACTCAGTAAATATATATACTCTCGGTGAAGCTAGCAATATATGTCGCTCCAGTAAATATATATAGTCTCGGTGAAGCTATCAATATATGTCACTCAGTAAATATATATACTCTCGGTGAATCTATCAATATATGTCGCTCCAGTAAAAATATATGTCGCTCCAGTAAATATATGTACCCTCGGTGAAGCTACCAATATATGTTGCCCCAGTAAATATATATACCCTCGGTGAAGATGATTGTAAATATATATACTCTCGGTGAAGCTAGCAATATATGTCGCTCCAGTAAATATATGTACTCTCGATGAATCTATTAATATATGTCGCTCCAATAAATATATGTACCCTCGGTTAAGCTACCAATATATGTCGCTCCAGTAACTATATGTACCCTCGGTGAAGCTACCAATATATGTCGCTCCATTAAATATATATACCCTCGGTGAAGCTATCAATATATGTCACTCAGTAAATATATATACTCTCGGTGAAGCTAGCAATATATGTCGCTCCAGTAAATATATGTACTCTCGATGAATCTATTAATATATGTCGCTCCAATAAATATATGTACCCTCGGTGAAGCTACCAATATATGTTGCCCCAGTAAATATATATACCCTCGGTGAAGATGATTGTAAATATATATACTCTCGGTGAAGCTTCCAATATATGTCGCCCCAGTAAATATATATACTCTCGGTGAACCTACCAATATATGTCGCTCCAGTAAATATATGTACTCTCGATGAATCTATTAATATATGTCGCTCCAATAAATATATGTACCCTCGGTTAAGCTACCAATATATGTCGCTCCAGTAACTATATGTACCCTCGGTGAAGCTACCAATATATGTTGCCCCAGTAAATATATATACCCTCGGTGAAGCTACCAATATATGTAGCTCCAGTAAATATATATACTCTCGATGAAGCTATCAATATATGTAGCTCCAGTAAATATATATACTCTCGATGAAGCTATCAATATATGTAGCTCCAGTAAATATATATACTCTCGGTGGAGCTATCAATATATGTCGCTCCAGTAAAAATATATGTCGCTCCAGTAAATATATATTCTCTCGGTGAAGCTATCAATATATGTAGCTCCAGTAAATATATATACTCTCGGTGAAGCTACCAATATATGTCGCTCCAGTAAATATATATACCCTCGGTGAAGTTTTCCAATAAATGTCGCTCCAGTAAATATATATACTCTCGGTGAAGCTACCAATATATGTCGCTCCAGTAAAAATATATGTCGCTCCAGTAAATATATATACCCTCGGTGAAGATGATTGTAATAACTACGCTTGTCTCTTGTTAAATTGGTTTACTTGTTTGTAATAATGACATTGGTCTGTAGGTATCAACAACGTTGGATTGTTAACATGTCGGCATTGAGCAGATTGTAAAAATGGTATTGGACTCTTTATAGTAGAGACGCTTGGTTTTTCCTGGGACTGATTGTCATAGCGACACCGGGCTGTTCGTAATAACGACATTGAACTGTTCAGTAAAGTTTTCTATTTCATAATCTTAACAGGAGCACAGTCATTTAACGTGACGGCGTGCGTAAGTCTCCAGGAAATTGTTTTGCCTGACCTTGACCCCATGGCTCAGTATTCGGTGTGTATGAGGATCCGGACGAGTGTCGGGGCAAGCAAACTCAGTGATGTCAGATGGAGGAAACCACTCAAACACCCTGGTTTGTTTACGTTTTCTTCATGAAAGGTGGAGGAACATAGATTTTCTTATGTAATAAAGGAACTGCAATATACAACCCGAATTTTATTGGTAAAAAGAAGAGATAATAATTGCCATAACTGCAAAATCATAAACAATAACCGTACAATTTGGAACATCATTATATATTAAAATATCACCTGATATTGTTTGTTGTTATAAATACCGTAGGTTGTTATTGTTTTACGTTTTTTTGCCACAGGCGGGGTTGATGCGGTACTTGTTGGCGGCCTTAGTACAGTTAGTATAATCGTGTTCCTGCTGATTTTGACGTTCGTTATATGGTAAGTTTATCATAAAAATAAATACTTAAAGTGCCTAACTATAAAGTGTTTGTCACGAGGTGATTCACGAATAGACACTTTTAAGGTCACCTGAGCTTTGTTCAAGTGAACTATTCTAATCGCTTTCCGTCCGTCGTCGTCCGTCGTCCGTCGTGCGTAAACTTTTTACATTTTCAACTTCTTCTCAAGAACCAGTGGATGGATTTTTTTCAAAGTTGGTCATAATCATCCTTGGTAGATGAGGCTACAAAGTTGTAAAATCGGGATTCCTACCCCATCCCCTGGGGCAAGGGCGTGCCCCCAAAGGGAAAATTAACCAATATTTAAAAAATGTTCTCCTCCAGACTCAGAGGTACTACAGTCATTTTCTCTGCATGGAAAGAAAGACCATCAGGGGCTTTACTTAAATTGTAAATGTCAGGACCCCCGAGCTAATTGTTCTCCATTGGGGAGGGGGTAAAGTTTATTATAGTCTTTATAGGGAAATAACTTTTTGGGGTATATTTTGAAAACTTTCTATAGGAAATTATTTTTACTTTGTGAGAATTATCCTTGGAGGAACAGGGTTTCAAATAGTAAAATTGAGATTCCTACCCAAACCCCTGGGGCAAGGGTGGGGCCCCAAAGGGAAAATTAACCAATATTTCAAAACAAATCTTCTCCAGACTCAGAGGTACTAAACAGTCATTTTCTCTGCATGGAAAGAAACATCATCAGGGGCTTTACTTTAAATTGTAAATTTCAGGACCCCCGAGCTATCCGTTCTCCCTTAGGTAGGGGGTACAGTTTACTATAGTTTATATTGGGAGATGACACTGTTGGGTATATTTTATTCATTTTTAGCAGAAAATTACTCAAACTTAGTCAGAATCATCTTTGGTGAATGAGAGTATTACTTTGTAAAATTGGGATTCCTGCCCCATCCCCAGGGGCTAGGGCGGGGCCCCAAAGGGAACATTTACCAATATTTTCGAATTCTTATCCTTTGATGACACGACAAGTATTGTATTTCATTTAGTTTTCATGCTGATTTCCACATCACATCTAATCAATAAAATAAAGCTACCAGTACCTATGATATAACTCAGGTGACCGCTAAGGCCCTTGGGCCTCTTGTTTATAATATACGTTCGATACCAGATAATAAGGAATGTGATTTTAGCAAGAAAGCGTTAGAAGTTGATGGATTGTCTTATGTTATTGTTAAACATGTATATTTCAGGCGTTGTTACCTGAAATATGAAAATATGGACGCCAAAATAGAGCTCCCTTCTGTCGACACAGATCACCAAAGTATCGTCGAAACATCGAAATCGGTAATATACTGAAGTCATATTTATTTGTCCAGCACACCTTCGTTATACAAAAACGAATCTAGACTCATTTTGAATACAGATAGACTACAACACGACTATGGAAATATCAAAAGAAAATACAGCTTAAACTTCGCAGTCCTGGCTTTCAGTTGTTGGGTATTATTATTATTGTACATACTATTGTTATGTGGGTTTTTGTTGTGTGTGCTGTTGTTGGGCAGGTTATTGTTGCGAATGTTATTGTAGCTTGTTAGCTCAAATTGGCCCAAAGGCCCAAATTATGCCATGGTGCAGCGTCCGTCGTCCAGCATCAATATTATACTTTAAACAACTTCTACTTGATAACCAAAAGGCATAGCGTGATGATATTTGGCCAGAAGCAAACTGGGCTGAAGGGCTACCATATTTGTTCAAATAAATGACCTTCACCTTTTTTCAAGGTCACAGGGGTCAAATATGTTAAAAACTTTAAAATACTTCTTGGTAACCAAAATACCCAGGGTGATGATATTTGGCCAGTAGCATGCTGGGATGAAGGGCTACCAAGTTGGTTCAAATGAATCACCTTCACTCATATTCAAGGTCAAAGGGGTCAATTGTTAAAAAATATCTTTAAACAACTTCTTCTGAATAATCAAAAGGCCCAGGATGTTGATAGTTAGTCAGTAGCATGCTAGGATGAAGGGCTACCAAGTTTGTTTAAATGTATTACCTTGAATCATATTCAAGGTCGCAAGGAGCAAATACGTTCAAAATCTTGAAACAACTTGTTCTGAATAACCAAAAGGCCCAGGATGATGATATTTGGCCTGTGACATTATATGATGTAGGGCTACTAAGTTTGTTCAAATTAATTACCTTGACATATATTCACGGTCACAGGGACAAAATACTAAATACTGATATCTTACCTGTAGCTTTATTTTAGATCACTTTTAAGGTTACAAACTTGTGTGAAATTTATACCAGGTGAGCTATGCAGGCCCATTGGGTCACTTGATTTTAATTTTGTTGTTGTGCATCGTGCTGTTGGTTTATATTGTTGTTACATATCTTGTTGTTGATTTAATTAATTGATATGTTTCCTGTTGTTGCTTTAATTAATTGATGTTTCCTGCTGTTGCTTTAATCAATTGATAAGAATCCTGTTGTTGGTTTATTTTGTTGTTGTGTAACATGTTAATTTTATATTTTGTTATAGTGTATCATACTGTCGTTTTACTTGTTGCTGTGTATCCTGTTTTTTGTTGTTTGTTATAGTGTATCATATTGTCGTTTTACTTTGTTGTTGTGTATCCTGTTTATTTTATATTTGGTTATAGTGTATCATACTGTCGTTTTACTTTGTTGTTGTGTATCCTGTTTTGTTGTTGTTTGTTTATTTGTAACATGTCGTTGTATTGCTTTGTTGTTGTTTATACTGTTGTTAGTTTATTATGATGTTGTCTGTTTATTTTGCTGTGAATTATATTTTCGGTTTATTTTGTTGTTTTGTATACTGTTTATCTTTGTTTGTTGGGTTTAGGTTCGCATTGTTGGGTAGCATGGTATTGGTATAAGAATGTGCTATGCATCATGTTGTTTGTATATTTTGTTGTTTTGTGTCGTGTTGTTGGTTGGTTTTGTGGCTGTTTTTTGTTTATTGTTATGCTTGTTTAGGTTCGTATGGATATGAATCAATTTGTTTATCTCGCAACAACCTTTTTATTTGCTATTAACTTATATTTTGTTTCAAACTAGAATACGTTATTTTATATCAAATTGCTGAAGACTGCAGTTATTTCATATTTTAGTGTCTGTTGTTTATACATACAACGAATTGTTGTCAGGCTTAGAACTAATATATGTTAAAAAATGTTTATATTTAATGTTACTCTTCAACTTGATGCATTATTACTGCTGTCAATATATATACAACAATAAGAGCAGACTGCAGATATAAAAAAATCTCTCGCAACTGCGTATAGGTAGCAGTGTACAGTAGCGTACGGTGGCCATGGGGTAGCAGTGTACAGTAGCGTACAGTGGCCATTGGGTAGCAGTGTACAGTAGCGTACGGTGGCCATGGGTTAGCAGTGTACAGTAGCGTACAGTGGCCATGGGGTAGCAGTGTACAGTAGCGTACGGGGGCCATGGGGTAGCAGTGTACAGTAGCGTACGGGGGCCATGGGGTAGCAGTGTACAGTAGCGTACGGTGGCCATGGGGTAGCAGTGTACAGTAGCGTACGGTGGCCATGGGTGATATTTTATACAACAAAGTAACCCCTGTAATATTACATGTATCGAAATATAAAAAAATAATCAGCACAAAAATTTGCATGAACATGATGAAGTAGACTATGTGGGCTTCATATTTAAAAACAAAAAATATTTGAATTTGGTTTAAGACTACATTTTTGGCAATTTACAAATCTGTGTTTACACATCAAAAGCTATCTTTTCATGTAGTCTATTTTTGTACTCAGCACATGTGTAAATATTTTGAAAAATCCAGTTGAACGACCTGTGCTAAAACGTGAGTATTTCTGTTACCGAGTAGATGATATTTAATTTAAGACAGGTTTTAAGACAAAAAAATACTACTTGCGTGTGTTAAATTTTGGGTTAAAAATCATGTTCTTTTGCAGTTTTGGATGTTTTTTGGTGTAGTAACCATGGTTTTCACAAGTTCCAAATCTGTGAAAATCACTTTTTGAAAAAGAAAAATCTTCTAAAAAACAATGTTTTCAAAATGTAGTTTATAAATATTATTTTATATGTAGGTGTGTTGAGCAGAATGAATCCTCTATCCATGTTTATCTGAGACATGTCCTCTATTTTAAGGATCAGGCCATTTCTACTGAACTCTGTTACCATAGGTCATACCTACGTCATGCACAATTACATTTTAGGAAAGGAAGACCAACTTTATTGCCATACATTTGATCAGCCATTTACAGCCAACAATTTTATGATTGAATGCGCTAATTTCATGTAATCACATTCAAATGTCAATCCTTCTGTACCATAGGCAATTTCATACTGAAATACTAAAATACTTACAAAAGCTTTGAAACTAGCTTCCGTGCATCTTTTTATATTTCTTTTTCAAATTTATGTCACAGCTTACATCTACTTGAAAATAATTTAATTGTTGTTTCTTGAAAGGGATTTATGTAAAATGTGTCATTACCTCTTTCATCCCATCAAGGAGATTCGTCAGACTGTTTGTTTAAAGAAGACATTTTGACGTCATAAACTATGACGTAACATAATAGTTTTCCGCTTTGAAATATCACAAGAAAAGGAATACTTAATTAAGATAAAGAGTATAATTTATTTAGGATTTAGTATTACTCTTAGTACTATTATGTATGTACCAATAATTAGAATTTTTAAATTACTGTTGAAAAAAAATGTTATAATATATTTCTACTTATATATATATATATTATGGATGTCTTAATATATAACCAAAATATATATATAGTATCTTACATGAGTTTCCATTTCATATGAGATTTATGTAACGAGTCGAAATATTTTTCAATTGAAAAAAAAAAGAAAATGAAAAATTTGTTTCATTAATTTCATTTGAGATTAAAACGAGTGTAAGATCCTTTTTATCACATAATCAAGATTTGTGGCATTTATTCGTGTAAAACGACAATTTTCATACAACCTTGAGATGCAAAAAAAGCTGCCATTTTGACTTCAGTTCCTAAGTCTGTGACGTCATGCAGTTGTCCAAACGTCACAATTGAATGTTTGGAAGCTTACAACCAATCACAGGGTTGATTGGTCATATTACATGGGTTAATACGCCAAAAAATATGACATGGGTATATTCACTGGATAACACAGTACATTATGTGATAAATATATTTATATGCTATATATCTTGTATCCCTATTTAACACCTGACACTCCATCACCACCACTAAACATGTTTTTCTTCCTCAAAAGATAATGTCTAATCGCGCCAGGTGACGTCAAGGAAGAATCCGCACAAAAGTGTTCTGAGCAAGAAATAAGTCAGTCATAAACAAATCATTATAAAATATAAAAACTCACGGTGAAAAAAATAAAAACAAACGGTTATCTCCGCATGGAGAAACTAATGATAAGAACATTGGTATACAATATTCTTCTGCTTAAAGTTAGGAATTTAAGTAAACACTCATTCATGTTACTTACGTCTGGAACTCTTTTCGATTGAGATTCATTTGTCGATGGCACAGAGCCTGTGCAATACTTTCTTTCGTTTCGAAGTGTGTTGTCAGTTAGTCTGCTGCATTACACCGCGTGAAAAAACACGTTATTGTGTATTTTCCTCAAATAAACAAAGTTATGCCTTTTTTGTCTTTATTACAAAAAAATACAAAAATAAAATGTGTGTCATTTGTATAAGAATAACAAAACAAAATAAAATTCGATTAATTCGGTTGGAGTTCATTATCTGATAAAAAAAATAACTGTTGATTTTGGATTTGTCTTAGTGGATCACTAAAATATGTAGCTCTATATGTTCAGAATCTCCGTGAAATATGGCAACAGGCAACATGGATTCTTTAGTCACGAAACGTGCACAAAAGAACAGACATAGACTTGCGTGTTAATTTAGATGTTGCTTTACGACTTGTAAAATTACGAGTTTTAGTGAAACTAGTTTAAGACGCTTACGACTACGTGTAAAGTTACGACATTTAGTGAAACTGTGTCATGGTATTTCATTGTCTTTTTATGAAGTTGTAATATGTAGATGATTTAGATGACAGTTTCTCACACAAAAAAATCTGGGTTTGTCTTGCAATCAATTTTGTAACGTGATCACAAGGACAAAATGTCGAGAGTCCACAGCAGGTCAAAACAGAATGTAATATTATATTAATATATAATGAATTCGAGATATTTTTTCATAGAAAAACACGACCATAGCAAGATATTGGATTTAAACGGCTACAGCCTCCTTTGTACAATCCCGGAAAATACGGACAGGCTCAGCAAGTAGTCCTCAATGGAATTTATAGGCTGGGCATTATGATAAGGAAAGCAAAAGCAAGATCCATGCTAATCATCCGAGTGCGGGCACCGGTATTAAAGTTAGGTGCTGTCTAAACTAGCAGAGGTAGCATGTACTTGTACGTTACCAATAACCGCTCTTGCCCATGTCATGAGTAACCAGCATCTCCAACCGCCCGAAGAACCAAAACCTCCAATCCTACCTTAGAGAATTCACATGACAATCATCAGTGAATGAGCTACCATTAGACTGTATCTTCCTGCCACAAACTCCTATGGACTATTTTAAACTCCTAGGGAACATCCTTAGCGAGTTTATAATAGTCCTCTAGTATAAAACCTAGTAGTACCTCTAGCATTCTAGGACAATAACATACAACACAACTACATATGATATTACAATAAAATGTATAAATATATGCCTACCCGCCATATCCTGCTACTTGGGACTGTCTTCACAGTTCTATCATCCCCGATGAGAAAAATGTTTTCGCCACAAACCTTGAAATCGAAATGTGTTAATCTATAAATACAAAAATAAGGCAACTCTTCTTGCACATCTTTACTTCTAATTTTATATCAACAGAGACAAGCTTCCAATGGGGATAGTGGATTTGATTCTCAATACGTCTCCCCCCATACATCTGAAGAAAAGAAAAGTAAGTACAGGACTATATTATTGCTCATTTGTGACCTAGACAGGGAAGCGGCAACCAAAAGGCAAGAATTTTGAGGAGTAGCCCGAGGCTTTGCCAAGGGAAGAAATTCCTCAGTGAACACCTGAGGTTCCTCATCAACTGATCAGGATGTTACTGTACTTTAGTATTCATATGACATTCATAATATATATGAAAAAAGACACTTATCTGACACGATATATAGGTATACATTAACAAAGGGAACGGAGGTAACACCAAAACCACAGATGAAACACTAATTACCGCAAAAAAAAGACCGGAGGCAAAACCACGTGATTCTTAAGGGTAAACGTTTCCTATATACACGTGACTCTTATCATGATGTATCGAGGAAAACAATGTTGGTCGCCAACAATCTATGGATCGTTTGACGATAAATTCTTCGCACTTTTGACCGAGACTTTTATTAATTTGACCCTTGTATCATTGATAATTTCTGCATCAACTTACAAGTCTTTTTGTAAATGGCGCTGCCTTCCTCCATATTTTTGTGAATGCTAAGAGGTGAAAAATCCATTATACGTTTTGTAAAAACACATTGAAATTGCTTTGCAGAGTTTTTATATATTATGATAACCAGATTATTCACTATATTACGTAACCAAAACACAAAAGCTTTCTTAAGCATCAGGTTAAAAAGTGAATGTGGGGTTTTGCAAAACTAGTAAACAACAAAAAAGACATGATGTACTGCATGATAATGGTGATATTTTATATTTAAGGATCAATGCAGTATCGCACGGCCTCACCGCAATTGCAATCAGAGGGAAGCTTTGAAGATATCGATAAGATTACTGGTAACCATCAAAGCCAAGTGTCAGGAAACAAGAATAGAACTGGTGTTACGACTAAACGTTTAACTGAACCTGAACCAGATTGTAGTTATACAGGACACAAAATTAACCAAACGTGCCTCAGGGCTAGCTGTGCTACTAACAGCACTACGAATACAAATAAAAATAGTTGTGCAGATTGTTACTGGATAGCCAGTGGTTTTCATGACAGAGATAGCGGAGAATGCTTTTTGGAGGGTGACGAAAAGGAACCATTTATAAAGACTGATGAATACAGCAAAGCGTTATCGTTAATTCCTACGGATTTACAAAATTCCAAGGATGCAAATTCAACAGTGGTATTGGATCGTTCTAGTTACAGTTATAAAAAGCAACTAGACATGGAAGTGATCTTATCTGTTGGGGACTCAGAAAACGAGGCATGCAATTACAGCGACCATAGCGATTCCACACTTTACAGTGATTTGTCTAAAGATGACCTTGATCAAATCGCATCTCTTGAGGATTTACTCTCTGAGGAGACAGTCACTAGACACGAGAACAAAAGTTTTACAGGAGTGAATTCAAACCACATAAATCCTGGAAACTATGGACATTCTCAATTACGTTCTAACAGTGATAATCCTAGTGAGAGAACTTCCCTCGTAAAATCTCACAAACCGTTTGCTGTGTCACTGGAAACATCATGTACAGAGGAATCAAGGTATGGGACGAATTCAAACCCAAGCCACATACAAGATGACAATTCTGAAAAGGAACGTCTTTTAGCATATCTACAAAGCGATGATAAAGTAGAACATACCTATTCTGACCCAGATAACGATTTCTCAATTGCACATTCTGGGACATACTGTGAACCAGAAAAACACCTTTCTGGGACATACTGTGAACCAGAAAAACACCTTTCTGGGACAGGTTGTGAACCACACAAACACCATTCTGGGACATACTGTAAACCAGACAAAGACATCTCCGATACATGTTGTGAACCATACAAAGATTATTCTGGTACAGGTTGTGAACCACACAAAGATCTTTCCGGTACACGCTGTGAATCAGACAACGATATCTCCGATACATGCTTTGAACCACACAAGGACCATCCTGGTACATGCTCTGAACCACACGGAGACCAATTTGATATATGTTATGAAGTTGATGGAGACAATTGCGACACAAATATTGTGCCACACGAAGACCAGTTCAATACAATGTCATGTTGTGAACTCCGCAAAGAACAGTCTGGCATATGTCGCGAACCAAGTAGAGAAAAGTATTGTATGTGTTTTGGACCTAAACCACTTCACACAACCAACTCCCTTAGAAATTGTGAACAACATGTCCCATACAAAACATTAGATGACAATAGGAAAACTAAGGTAAAAAGCAAAGGATACGTGAAAAAGATATGCTGAGCGATAATCAAGTTTGCATACAGCTTATAAAAATTGCCGTATTTCCTGACATATCGGCTTGTCATAAAGACCGGTTGCTTTTGCAACAATCATTATTCGGGGTTTAACAAGGATGTGAAAAGTCCTATTGTTTGTGTTATATGTAAGCATTTTCTAGACTTTAAAGTTTTACTTTCTACACAAACAATGTTTGTAATAAACGTGTCGCAACGTTTCAAGACCGACTGGTCCCTTTGTAAAGCTATGACTGAGTGAGCGATTTGTAGTTTTACCTGTACAACGATGTGACGAAATTGTATATTTTGTATGTCACTTGACTCGGGACAGGGATAGGGAGCGTATACACACTGCATCAGATAGGTTACCAGTAGGGTCGATAGGGACAATGCCAAGATATTTTAAAGAGAAAAACACACAAAGATAAGGCAAATTTTCATTTCATCAAATTTTATTGACAAGATGTCGTAATCAATTGGATTGAATAACAGGCAAAGCCTATATAAATTCTCTCCGTCAAATGGCCAAAGTTGAATAAACAAGGAGACATAATATTTTAGACATGTTGCAAATGAAAAAAATAACACAAAATAATTCATATTAACACAAGGCTAAGGGGAAGTAACCCATGAAGGAAACATCTCACACACCTCATACACATTTACACACACATACAAGTACATGTACAAATACATTTATTTCAGCATATATATACACTATCATAGACAGATATTGGCAGGCTTAGACCAAAAGTCCATGTGAATACATTGCGCAGGTCACTGCTACCAACAACTGTTACAATTAAAAATGATAAATTCATTTAATACATATAGAGTGTAATTATTTACAATGTCATGATAAGTACAAGTAATAGACAGTAGTCAAATCAAAGAAGTAATCAAAATCAGAGAAACTCGGAACATAAACAGAGACGAGGGGAACACCAACTGAGTCATATTTATGCTGATATGTTTTTATGAAGAGAACGAAGATACTGGTATAACAGAGGAGGGGGCTAGATCAACACCATACCTGTAACCTATCTTATGTATACGCTCCCTATCGATAGGCGAAACATCCTTGGTTGAGTGAAATACAAAATATACAATTTCTTCACAATAAATAATACCATGATCAAGTGGAATCTTCGGAATAACTTTTGACATAAATTTTTTATATTCAACGCTAGAGCAATTACTGATTGGATACTCCTTTTCCTCTTCCAATTTGGCCCTTGGTCTAACTATACTCCCTTTTTTATTTTGATACTTTACAGCATTTTGTCCTTTTTAAGCATTTCACTGACATGTATTACCTTTTGTTTTTTTAGTTATTTAATAGATTCAATGAGCGTGTTTTCTCCTATATTTTGTTTTTGTTATTTCTACGATGCATGTGGTGTTGTTTTATCTGTTATAGTCATCAGTAAAGTCTCAAGAAATAATTGAGAATCTATAAAAAAAACCCAGCAAAGATTGTATATCTGGAGACAAACTGTATATTAGTTTATTTAATTACATTTTTGACTGAGTCTAAATATTCTTGATCATATAATAGGAGTTGTTGCACTTCCATAAGCCTTTACTTTGTTTTAATTGATCGAGATTTAGTGTTGTTTTCGGGAACGAGTGATCAGACCGATAACAAGTTTGTTGAGTTATTAACTCAAGATTATCAATAAGGCCTCGGTATAGTACGTTCATGTTGTTCATTGTGTAAGTAAAGATAAGCAAGACTTTCTGCTGTTGACATGTTTATATTTAAATCAAAGAAGGTCCATACACCTGATAGGTAAAAACAGAGCGTGTAATTTAACAACACATCATGGATATATCTGAGATATATGTGAAAATTAAAACAAATCATAACTCAGCAAATCAATAATTAAGAGGTGCTTAATATATTATGTAGAATTTTGTTTAGAAAACTGGAATGCGATACAAATTTTGCAGTTCTTTGATATTCCCAAAAATAAGAAGGGGGTTTGGGGGGAGGGGGTCGAAAATAAAAGCTAATTTGATGAACTGTAAATCTCGGAATGTTGTTTATGCAATGATCTATGCAAATTGGTATGAATTCTTTATGAAAACGACTGTCAGTAAGCGAATTCCATCTAAAGATCTGGTGTCCAGCAGCTTTGCTGCATTTTCTTGTTTTATATTTAACCATTACCAGGTCTTTGGATAAAAAATAAATATATTAAATATATATACATGTTATAACAGTTGTATTTTTAAATAAATATATGTATACTACTAAACATTTCCCATGTGTAGGACTACATTAATATGCTAAGGGAAATAGACAATCTACACAAAGCATCTTTTTAATCAAACAGGAGTAGACAGCAAAAGAAAACTGAAAACATTAAAAAAGGAACAAGATGCTACATATGTTGCATCCGGCCATATTGAGTCCACGTCAAGGGAAAAAATACAGGACGGATTGGTTAAAGATGCATTCAAATAAACCTGAAACCAATTAAATAAGAAATCCAGACTATGCAGTTGACTGTAAAACATAACTGAGGCCTAGAATATGTATACAACCTACACGAGTTGTCTTTCTTTAAATTGAAATATTCTATTACAGCAATGTGTGACTGAAAAGGATTTTTATTTAAAAATATATGAGAATATTTAATACACTATTCATTGTCAATACATTTGAGACGAAATAACAATTATTAAATATCATTAAAAACATATTAATATTGTCAAAACTGATCTCTAACTTTATTAATACAAAACCCATTGTACTGAGGGTTTTAACTCCAATTCTTAACGAACTATTGTTTCATGTTGTTGTACAACATTTATAAAGCTACATATATCTTAAACAAATGGGTTAAAGCAGTTTACTACATGTAGATGTTTATAATATATGTACATTTGCATAAATATTATGAATGAATACAGATTGTATTGTGATGATTATGAATATACATATATCGCAAACTAGGATTCACGAGTGCTTTCCCTTTCCGCTTGCCACTCAGACGGGCGCCTACGTTCTCTTAGTTTAAAAAAATGGGTTTGAGAAGCCGACATGAAATATACTAAACATGAGATATTGAGAATGTTTGTGTTTCTTGTTGAAAATATCTTTTTTGAGTTCGGTGGCGAGACTTTCCAGTAGATAGTTGACATTTATAGGTAGCATGATGTGGTCCTAATCTGGCCGACTTGTTTCGTGTCTTAATTTATTGAAAAGCTTATTTGGCTGGTAAAAAAATCTCCCTTCAACAAATTCCTTCAATTTCTTTTTCATATAAGTCGACGATGTGTTGTCGTTAAATTACAAGAAATGTTTTAATGAGTTCGGTCATTTGAAAGAAAATAAATCGACAGTACAGACCGCCTAGTTAAAGTAATTGAAGTTAATTGATATCTAATTCAAACCGAAAAATAAAACACAGAAACTACATGTACCAAAATAAAGCAACTTAAATTTTATTAACAGAATCATAATTCCATATTTTAAACTAAAACTTTTTAAAACTAGGGCAAGTATGAACAATTAATGGAAACCCTTGAAAAAGTAAAAGGAGAATATGACCAGGTTTTCCGGGAAAGGCAACCATCCAAATCAAATCCAAGTCACATTACTTCCTTATACCGACAACCCGAGTAGATACAACAAAACCTCAAGGTAGTCTAAAGAGCATAATCAAAAAGGTTGACTTTCATATCAAAGAAACAACATATGTCCCTATGAGATCATGATGACGATCCTAAAACCTGTACATAATCCATAACGTGAAGTTTTTTCTTCTATCAGCAGTCGACATATATCACGGTCGTCATGCTATTCGGAACAAGATCCTGGAAACCGAATCATCTGCGACATGTAAAAACTGTAGGTAGGGGAAGCGTGTTGTTATTAACAAGGGAGGAAGATTTAGCGATCGCAAAGTTGGATTCGTCCCGCTTATTGTATAGCTGTTTAATAGTAAGCCTTCCCTGTTGGTCATGTTGTAAGTAAGCATAAGGAAAGCGACTGAAGTAGAATAATCTGCAGTTTTCCTTATCTCAGGCCCAGGAGGGTATATACGAGGTTGTCAGTTTATTGTTATAAGAAGTCAACAAATCGTCGATATGTCTGAATGTTATATTTAAGGACTTGGCTAGGATTGCGTAACCAGTTCTTCTACTGTTTAGTTGCTGATATTCAATTTAATTGCGCTAATTTTATGATTATATCAAATTTTGTGCCTCGTGAAATTAAAAAAAAAGAGTCGGCCAGAAGAGGCCGGGGGCATAGATTGTGCATATGTATGCTTATAGTCTGCTGGAAAAAAATGCCACCGAATTCAAGAAAGTTCATAATCATTCTCACAAATTAATCCTCAGTCTAGGTCATTTTGGCGTTCGTTTTGCTTTCACAAAATACACCCCAAAATAATATAAACCGTCACTTTATATTGCCATTCGCTAAATTTAAAAAACGTTACTTAACCATTAAAGAAAATGTAACCGTGCATGCTGCAGCTTTCGAGTTAGGATGAAAAGCCAAGCTGAAGTATTCTTGGCTCACTGAAAATAGTACTGACTCTTACGTCTAGAAACGAGCTAGGAGCACATCACTAAATTCTTAATTTTGTATAGTATGTCTGTATTTCATAACGTTGCGTTTTAAAACCTAAACAAAATTAGGAAGGCTATACATATTTGTGTATCACAGAACTGTGTGACAAAACAGTCACTGTCCAAACGAGGTCAACGTTCAGTGATTTTACGATCACCAAGACGACACATTCCGGATAAATCACAAGGACAAAGATGGCAAACATCGGGATGATCCAAAAATACCATACTGGTTGGTTGGTTGGTTGGTTGAAGGTTTTTTTTTGCCTACATGAATCCGCCCTTACGGGTTTCATCTCACTAACGTAATACCATACGTTAAGATACAGGATGTTTATGTGTCTAGTCTCACGACAGAAGCATCAGCTAACCCAAACACAGAGTCTCCCAGAGTTTGTAGCTACGGATTTTTAATCATCATTCTTGCCTTCTTCATCGGAACGTGGGATCTGCCCTGGAACACATTGTACCACAGCATGGAGTTGGCTATATCGTTGCCGAGGTCTTCCTTGTACAACCCGTTGAGGCTCGAGTCGACACAGGCTGCGTACCACCAAGCCCCTTGGCTAGCCACAGCACAGTTGCAATGTCCACAAACGTCGTTGTCCGAGTCGAAAGTTGTGAACTGACGACCGTTGTGATAGCTTAGGGCGTTATCTGTCAAAGTTTATATATAGTAACATATAACCATACACAATATACGTATATTATATAAGACAAGCGTTCCCCGATAAAGCATAATAACGAAGTCAGAATTTATGTTAGACATTGGGTGGCGACTTTCTGCCTAAAACCCAATGAAAATACATTTTGGAATGTAAATCAGTGTCATGATTGTCATTAAGGCCGGTAAAATTAGTTAAGCATTTATTAGTTACAATGTAAGACCTTGATTAAGACCTCAACATTCAGGGTATGAATACCATACTAGCATACACTCAATTAAGAGACTGTGCGTGAATTTATGTGCTGCCGGTTGTATAGATGTATCAAAGATATTACTTTATACGCCAAAAAACGTGCCACAACGTTTAAAGGCCGATTGCTCACTATTCAAGCTATGACTGATTGAGCAATGTTGATCTTTTACCAGTACAATGATATGAGGAAATTGTAAACTTACAAACGTTTCCTGAGGGGTCAGTTGCCTGGAGTCGATAGTTGTCAGCCTCGTCAGCAAGGCTGAACGTACCGTATTCAATATGCCTTTTAGACTCGTCCCAGGCTTCCAGCTCTACTCGCATAATCGTGTATCCGAGGTCCGTCAGCTTGTGTATTATCTCATTACCTGGAATTAACAAAGTTCTCACGTAAAACCGCGTACCTGAGGCCCGTCAGCTGGTGTAACATCTCATTACCTGTAATTATCAAAGTTCTCACGTAAAACCATGAACATGAGACTGTCAGCTTGTGTATTTTATTTTTACTTGTAGATTAACAAAGTTCTCACGTAAAATCATGTATCAGAGGACTGTTTGTTGGTGAATTATCTCATTATCTGTAATAAACAAAGTTCTCACGTAAAACTATGAATCCGAGACAGTCAGCTTGTGTATTATCTCATTTACTTCTCACTTAAATTCAAAAACCCGTGGACTGACACCTAGTACATCTCTCATTACAGTAGCTATATAGGAGGCCAATGGAAGTTCTTACATAGAAACCGTTATCCAGGAACTAATTATTTGTTTATCATCGTATAACCTTTAAAAAGCGCGAGTAAAGGCTTGCCGCGTACAACGATGTCCAGGCATAAGGCAAACTATTTTAATTAAACAATTTGACAACACGTACTTGCAGTTTTTGACATTGGTTGCCAATACATTATTACAAGTTAATTCACGAATGTCACATCAGCATTTATTCCTTTATATACTCCAACCACAAATATAGCCGAGGCATCATGTGTCCTACCGTCCGTCAATAAATCAGAGTGAGCTTAATGTCTGCAGAATAATTTGATCACAAGATGACAAAAATAGAGAAACTGTTTATCAGCTGAAAGAAAAATAAGAATGTCATACACGTATATAAACAGTAACCGGCAAACTTCAGCAGCCAATTTTTTATTTTGAAGACCAATGTTTCTCTCAGAAATGAATTGAATAAAATGAAACCTGCGACGTTTGTTTACAAAAATATTAATGTTAGCTGCATCTCCTTGAATACGGCGGATTATATATAAAGTCAAAAAGAGAATTAATTACATATCGAGAATTTTGTATACGTCAAAGATACACCTTGTAATATCTTTATAGTGTAGGCATTATAAAATATATATATATAACTATACGAGTCCAAGTATTACCAATCCAGAAGTTGCCACCAAGATCTCCGAAGCCATTTTTGTAGTCATTCCAACCCCGATAAAAGTTCCCTTTTCCGTCTTGGCGGTTGTGTATTACCTGTTAAATAAAACAGAAGGAATGCGTTATCATGAAATAAAAAATAAAAATAAATCAATAACTTGAAATGAGTATATAAACCCGGACTGAAGGGTAATGGATTACGATGAGTAATACCAATGTTCGACTTTTTTCAAGAATCGTTTACGTATCTATGTTTGTACCTATGTTTGCATGCATACATCGATACACAAATGTACGAAAAAATAAGGAATACTAATGCGGAGAGACATGCACAAAATTGTATTTATTTTGATTCAGTTCAAATCAATGCATATACTGAACAAAACCTATTTTTGCTTCACTGCTAACAGACCTAGATGCAGATTTTGTTCACTAACATAACCTGCACCTCTCAATGGGCCCCCGCTAAGTAATGCAGCTGATTATTGCTGTCTGTATCTGTTCTACCACAGTCACACCCATTCACAGCGTATACGTACAATCCATGGTCCCAGGGGAGAGTCCAGATCGCAGTAGACTGCGAGGGTCTGACCAGGAGACGGAGTGATTGGATACCAGCCAGAGGAACAGCTACCATGTACGTCACTGCACGTCTGGTAATCTACATAACCAATACACACTTGACATAGCAGCTGTGGCCAAATCTAAATGATAAGTTTTAATATTTGAAAAAAAAAAAAACTACGCGTAAACAGTAAAATAGAAAAAACATACAACATGTATATTCTTCCGCGTTGACACAAAATGCCAACATGTGTCATATCCGCAACACCCCTTAGGGAAATACCATAACATCGACACACAAAGTTTAAATACCATACAGCGTCAAGTCACAAGGACAACTTATTCAATAAAGGCAACAATCAGTCATAGTATACTACAACATCAACACTCAGGGTCAAAGTATACTACAGCGTCAACACTCAGGGTCAAAGTATACTACAGCGTCAACACTCGGGGTCAACGTATACCCCCGCGTCAACACTCAGGGGCAAAGTATACTACAGCGCCAACACTCAGGGACAAAGTATAGCCCAGCGTCAACACTCAGGGTCAAAGTATACTACAGCGTCAACAATCAGGGTCAACGTATACCCCAGCGTCAACACTCAGGGGCAAAGTATACTACAGCGCCAACACTCAGGGACAAAGTACAGCCCAGCGTCAACACTCAGGGTCAAAGTATACTAAAGCGTCAACACTCAGGGTCAAATTATACTACAGCGTCAACACTCAGGGACAAAGTATACTACAGCATCAACACTCATGGTCAAAGTATACTACAGCGCCAACACGCAGGGGCAAATTATACTACAGCGTCAACACTCAGGGACAAAGTATACTACAGCGTCAACACCCATGGTCAAAGTATACTACAGCGTCAACACGCAGGGGCAAATTATACTACAGCGTCAACAATCAGGGTCAAATTATACTACAGCGTCAACACTCAGGGTCAACGTATACCCCAGCGTCAACACTCGGGGGCAAAGTATACTACAGCGCCAACAATCAGGATCAAAGTATACTACAGCGTCAACACTCGGGGTCAACGTATACCCCAGCGTCAACACTCAGGGGCAAAGTATACTACAGCGCCAACACTCAGGGACAAAGTATACTACAGCGTCAACACTCAGGGTCAACGTATACCCCAGCGTCAACACTCGGGGGCAAAGTATACTACAGCGTCAACACTCAGGGTCAACGTATATAATTGTGTTCACAAACGAAGGCAAAATAAACAATTGCATCAGCATCAGCAGGGAGAGTGTGATGCATTAAGTAGCAAACAGGAACCATCTTCACCACAGGGTCAACGCACAAGGTAAATATCCGAGCTTATAGTCGATACAGAAGAAATGTAACGAACTGATCATGAGGAGATGCAAAAACCAAACAAAAGTCGGCATAAATTTCCACCAGCAACGAAGGAGAATTCAGGAAGTTACAGGCAATCAATAATATCATATATTACGAGCTAGACATTGCTTGTGTAAGACACGGATATAACATGCAGAAACATCGTATCCAACGACAAAATCGATGAGATATCAGTTTTTTAAATCAGAAACATGGGTTGTCTGCAGAAATAATTATGTGAAAGAAAGCCTTCAGTTAACATTGATGAACTGACTACAGATATAAGGAAATTTCGATTTCGACGTTTTACCTTTCCTGATAGTAACATCCATGGTTTCTAAAGATGCAGGGGTGATGAAAACTGTGTTTTATGGACGCAATCATGATCTCATAGGGACATATGCTATTTCTATGAGGGATATAAAGGTCAATGCTTATGATTATGCTCATTAATGCGCCTTGCGGTTTTGTTGTCTCTACACCATCCCCCTGTATGAAGAAGAAGACATTTTCTTTCCGGAACACATGGTATTATTCTCCTTATTTGTTGCCATTTAAATCTGTCCCTTTTCATATTTTGCCCTAGTTTATCGAGTTCGAATTATGATTTGTTTACGCTTCGGTATTATCTTCGCTCCTCGGGTATGTCTGTTTTATTACTATGTATTTATTTGATTATTTGATGTTTTTTAATTTATAATATAATAATATGATTTTTTATTGTTTAGTTACTTTTATTATTGATAAAAAAAAATGTCAATAATTAAAGGGTGATATTGCGAGTGACGTTGGATGAATTGATCTTTTATTAACTGTAGGCTGATAAGTCAAAGTCACTGAGTACTATCACGGCCACGTGATCCTAAACAAAGAGCGGAGGGAGGTGTTAATCAAAATTAATTATATTCCCTTCTATGTAGACAGAGTATATAGAGTACTGAAGGAAAAATATAAAGCAACTATGTTACTGATATAAATAAAGCATACACGAAGGATTAATATAAAACAAACGTTAGTCTGATAATATCATCCAGTAATTATTTCACGCATCAAGAGCTGTTATTACCTTGTCAGGGTGTTGTTAACTGTTCTGGTGTCTATTGCGGTAGAGGCTTTACAAATAAATATCTCACAATCAACACGTCAATATCAGGTTTGTATATTTTCAGTAATTGCCATGACATTGCACCGGCGCCTGCTGAAAAAAAGTTAGCTAGCTACGGGATAAGTAAACAAATAACAAAATGGATAGAGCATTTTTTAAGTGAAAGAAAACAAAAACTCATTGTCAGCTGTACATCATCAAAGGCGTATCCAGTTTTGAATGGAATACCACAAGGCAGTGTCCTCGGACCGGTACTGTTGGTCATATATGTCAATGACTTACCTGACACCACCTTATCTTCATCTGTAGTCATCGCAGATGATAGTAAAGTATATAGGGAAATGAATACCAAGAACAAGCTATTCTACAATATGATTTAGATGCTCTACAGAAATGGTACAGTATATGGCTAATTCAGTCCCACCCACAAGTACAAGCTTCTTTCAATAAAATAACCATAGACCAAAACCTCAGCTCTGCATGTCATACACAACAAGAGGCACACTAGACTAATAGAATCGCTGGACTCATAAGGGGGCCGTTTATTTATGTAAATGAAATTGTTACCTGGTTCTCTATATCAATGGTAATAAAATAAGTTTGACTTCTAAGCATGTACAGCTAAAAGTATCCACATTCCTTATAGCTGGACAACAAATGGACATTTTGTTGAAAACAATAATAAAAAAAAAAGTCTTTTGTTATAACAAGTGTAATGCCGTCAACAATACAAGTAACACAACAGTTATGTCATGCTTCGGCGTTGGGATAAATTCGGTGAAATATTTCCCTTGGCCTACGGCTCGGGAAATAGTTCACCTGATTGATCCCGCCACCTCGGGAATATAATGTTGACTGTTGCCTGAAAAGGCATGAAATAACTGTATACTATGTCCTACCAACTACTGAAAGCCCTAGTTTGACCACACCTCGAATACGCGTTGAATATTTGGAATCAACCCAAATTAGAGGAAATTGAGCTTCTAGAAAAATTGTACGAAAAAAAGCCACAACATTACTGCTAGGAATAAAGGATTTATCCTATGGTAAAGTGTCTGTTCAAAAAACCCCTTACGATTGAATTGTTGTTAAGGGTTTTATAACTTGTTTTAGTTTGGTTAGAACTTGTCTAAAATTTCCTTGTACCAAATTGGACACAACAATATGGCTCAAGTCAAGTCAAGGGTACTCGGGTGGCGCAGTGCATAACGCACTCGCCTTTCACCAAGATTTCCCACCTTATGACCCCCGCGCACTTAAACCCGGGGCAACCAGAGTAATAAATATACATTGAAATAACCTGTTTCAATATTGTATCAAAATATATAAAGCTTTTATACACAGTAAGTAAGAAGTGATGTTTGTGGCTAACAGGTCTGTGCAAGGTAGTGGAAGTGGGGTTTGAGGTGACATGTGTGTCTCATATGTAACATTTATCTATATGCGTTGCAGGGAAGTTTCTATCAAGAAAGGGAAAGCTCGCTATCGGAAAATGGAAATCGTCCTGTTTATCATACAGCAGCGGCTACCTCTTCATCGCTTCACCATCAAAACATGATACGGCCTTAAATTACCATAGCTGTTAATCGGATGTAAAACACAAACAAACACACCGCTTCATCGACGAATTTATATCATGTGAATATAGGTCAAACTCTAAAAGAAATTGTTAAAAATCAGGGAAGTGACACAAAAACCAGGAGGAACACTATAGGAATATGAAAGAAAGTAAACATGTAGAAGGAATACAAATATCCCACATATACAATATGTAGAATATTTAGGTAGGAAAAACACAAATGTACTTTATCGTCAATTCTCAAGGACAAACAATGTCTGAGCTCAAAACATAACAGTGTAAAGGATTTCACTATTTGTTTTTAAGGCAATCAGCCCCTTTAACAACGCACAAACATTGAACAATTACATGTCGCAAGTTATAACACAGAGCAAGACGTGAGCATGTCATTATATATAACAAAAACATTAACTACTGATTGTTTATGCTGATGTTAATTTGGTAATATATAATTGTTTTATGATTGTGTCTGATGAAGGGGCGAATTACAATGTATATTATTCTTAGAAAGTTCTGTCAAAGAGGTGGACGAAATGTAATATGCGACATTTGTAAGCAAGGAGAGGAATTAATGATGAAAGGAAAGTTAACGTTCGCAAACATCCATGTCGACATTTTTAGGACCGGCGTTTGAAATTTGGAAAATGATTCAAAATATAAAATGTGGATTGTTGTTTTTCTATTTTTGATTTGAAAATGTATTTTTTTAACAATTGCAACAAAACATGTTTTAACCTTTTGATAATGTTGAAATTCGATATCTGACAATGACACATGTCGGTGTGTTTTAAAGCGTCATTTTTATTCAAAATTAATATGCATGCATGATTCCTGTTTAACTATTTTTGCTTTATTCAGGAAATTGATTACAATCACGACTTTCGAGATATTTCCATTGATAGCAGATCTTGACACAGTGTAAACACACTCATGCGGTATGATGGTTTTATGGTGTCGCTTTTTAACAGTGGAATACAACAAACGTCAGTTTCCGCTTTTGTACATCATCTTTAACGGAAATATCGCGAAGACTTAGACACGTGTATGACATGTAATTAAACGAAGAGATAATATCAAATGGGTGATGGCGAACATTTGATAGGATAAGGGTAATGACCGGTCTCCTTGGATTGACGAACTAGTTGCAAAAAGCCCAATAAAACATGCGAAAATGACAATCATTATATTCAAAGCCAAGTTTGTGTCAAGGAAACAGCTTAATGTCAGATTATCCCTTGTGTGATAATAAAAACAGCTTATATGTGGTATATTGAGTGAAGTGATATGGATGTTGATTGCTCGTATGTTGAGTGACTAGTTCCGTGTTAATCCTACAGGATAACCATTTCACCACTGACGTCCATTAACCGTGTATTCTACATATCATAGACGTTTCCGACGACATGTCAAATACGTACCAAAGACAACTCTACACCCTGTACGTTATGTACCATAGACAACTCTACACCCTGTACGTTATGGACCATAGACAATTCTACACCCTGTACGTTATGGACCACAGACAACTCTACACCCTGTACATTATGGACCATAGACAACTCTACACCCTGTACGTTATGTACCATAGACAACTCTACACCGTGTACATTATGTACGACAGACAATTCTACACCGTGTACATTATGTACCATAGACAACTCTACACCGTGTACATTATGTACCATAGACAATTCTACACCGTGTACATTATGTGACACAGACAACTCTACACCATGTACATTACAGTTAGAATTACGCCCAAGTATCTACCTAGGTTCAGTTCGTTTTGCGTGCGGCCTGCGTGCGGTTAGCGGTAGTCTAGCGTCTAGAAAGCGATCGTTCACCGTTCGAGCACCGTTCGTATGTTTCTTCTGTTTCGTTCGTATCAGCTAAATCGTTCCGTTCGGTCATTTCGACCGTCCCTCTCGTCCAATTATTTCATTGGGTCGTTTAGTTCGGCTCCTCCGTCCGGCTGTTCCGTCCGGCTGTTTAGTTCGATCGTCTACTCCGTCTTTTTGGGTTAGGATGCGCACGCAGTGTATCAAGTCACTTAGGCAAATGGTAGAACTGCAGAAGATCTCACGCTTATCTCCAGAATTACGAACCTCAATTATCAGATACAGTGACAAAGGCTACGCTATTAGAATGATCAGGAGAAAAAAATGGAAGAGACAAACAACGTCACAGTAACACGGAAGACGGTGCGGATGTGTATAAGCAGATACAGAGAGACCGGATCCATCAACGACGGGTTCGACGATTTACAGGAACGGGCAGGAACGGCAGAAATGGGCAGGAACGGGCAGGAACGGCAGAAATGGGCAGGAGCGGGCAGAAATCTATTAATTATTATATACATTAATGGATATTTATATTAGATATATTTAAGTATCATTATCGGGTATAAGATATACATGATCGGGGCCGAATCGGACTAAATTATACATGTATATAAACATTTATGTCGTAATTACTTATGAGACCTATATTTATAGTATTAAATATTTTTTTATAGGGTATAAGATATATTTGATAAAAGAATTGCAACGAATTAAGAGTATTGTATTGATATGGATCGGGCAGGAACGGGCGACGATTTACAGGAACGAACAGAAACGGGCGACGATTTACAGGAACGGACAGAAACGGGGCAGGATCGGACTTACTTATATATATTTATTGTATATATTTAATTATCCTTATCGGGTATAAGATATATTTGATAAAATAATTGCAATTACTGGAACGGGGCAGGGTCGGATTAAATAAAATAAATATATTACATATAGTTAATTATCCTTATCGGGTATACGATATATTTGATTAAATAATGGCAATAACAGAAACGGGGCAAGATCGGACTAAATTATATATATATAAATTGCCAGGCTGATGTTCCAATATATATCTCTGTCTTTTTCTGTAAAAAAAGGTTGTTCAGATAATTATATATAACATAAAAAATTATATAATAAATATGTATCTGAGTTATTTTCTCAATTCTATATATGACATTGTTATTACGATGTCAGAACACATGAAACATTGAAAATGACATTATGATAACCAAATTTTAATAACTTCATAACTTATACACAACTCTTAATAAATAGCATGAATATATTTTGAGTAAATTAATTGGTGCTAATGTGTTGATTACAATCCCATCACTACGATCTTAAAAAAGTCATTAATGTTGAATTAATCCTTTGTTATTGTACTTATTGATGTGCAGACGATGTGAACGCTTAACAGTTCAATCAAAGGAAACTTCTCATTATCTCTCAAAGAAAATACGCAATTTTCCGACTTAAAAAAGGGACATCAGTCTGAAAATTAAATATTATTCTATATGTAAATATCAGTTAATTGAAATACGTGTTTTACGTAAATAAATATTGAAGTCCATATGTTGGATTGTTTAAACGCTTTAATGATATGAAGAAAGTCGAAAGTGTAAGTCACTTGCTTTAAGACGAATTCTAAAACTTTTCAGTGAGAAGACAAAACAAAACTTTTATGGAATTAATTTATCATTTCACAATGATTAAACATACAGGAAGCCCAAGGAGAAGAGAGTGATACTTACTTTGGCTTTATGTCTCTGAGCCAAGTATACATCACAGATTATGTATTTTATCACGAGTAAGGTCGTGCTTTTATTATCAAATATTTTGAGTAGCAAAAGTTTCAATTTTCAAAGGCTGATGTGGTCAAAACTGATTAGCTAATTC